TGGTCATCGACGACGCGGGCTGCGGATCGCCCACGAGCAGGTCGCGCGTCCGGCGCGTGGGCGAGAGCGACCGGGAGCGGTGGAGGCTACGCTCGGACATGGAGCGCTTCTTCTCCAGCTTCCGCTTGCGCATGCGCCGCCTCTGCCTGACCTCCTCCGACTCGCTGCTGTCGCTCCCGCTCCCGCTCCCGCTGTAGGAGAGCGGCTCCTCGCTCTCCTCTCCGTCATCACCGTAGGCCGTCTCCTCTCCCGCAGGTCGGTCGATCCGGTCGTCGGTTGTGTTCTTGCCCAGCTTCTTGACGATGCTGCGGAAGCCCTCGACCATGCGCGGCGTGATGGCGCCCAGCCGCGAGCCGATCCCGCTCCCGGCGTTGCTGCTGCTGCCCTCACTCCCCAGCGTGTCGGCCTCGGCCTCGGCATCGGCCTGGTGCGGGTGCGGCTCGACCCGCACGGCGGACATGGTGCCCAGGGAGAGCACCGGAATGGCCGGTTTGACCGATCTAGTCGTGCTGTCGGTGCTCGTCGACGTCACCCCGCGCCGCGGAGCCAGGGCCACTCCGCTCCCCGACGAGTGGCTCGCCGCGCTCGAGCTGCTGCCGTTCGTCTTCTGCCGCCGGCCACTTCCTCCATTACGCGGCGAGTCTGTCCCACGCCTCTTCTTCTCCACCACTTCCTCCTCCGCTTCCCTAACAATCGCCGCTCCTCGCGTCGCTTCGTTCTTTTCGGCTGTAGCGGCGCATTCGTTCTTTTCATCGTCTTCGTTCTCCGCCTGTGGCCGTACCCCGTTGTCGACTGCTTCGTGGGCCTGGGAGGTAGTCGTGGGTGTGGCGGGCCATCCGCCCCGAGGCGTGTTGCGCTCGCGGCGGTATTCAGCGATGTAGGGGTTGTCCTGGGCGGCCGAGTCGCTGAGCAGCGCCGGGTTCACGCCAGTGAAGCTCTCCCGCTTGATCCGGTCGTGATCGGTGCTGCCGCCCGTCCGTGTCAGCTTCCCGCCCGACAGCGCCCGCACCAGTCGCGCGCCCTTACTGTTCCGCTTGCCCGCACTGCTCTTCTCCCTCTTGACCTCCTTCTTTTCTTTCTTCTCTTTCTTCTTCTCTTTCTTTTCCTTCTTCTCCGTCTTGTCCTTGCGCTCCTTCTTCCCCTTCCGCTTGGGCTTGTCCCTCGACGGCGGCAGCTGCGGTCCGGCCGAGTAGGCCCGCGGCCGCTCGAAGGCCTCCGCTCCACGCTGGCCCGACGACGGTGATGGCTCGTTGGCTGCCGCCGCCGTGGTGGTGCTGTTCATCGATCGCGAGTGGCGGCGTCGCGACCCGTGCTTGCTGCTGGTGGTCGCTTTCCGAGGCGAGGGCGAGGGAGATGTCGAAGTCGACGACGAGGGAGACGACTCAGGCGACACCACCATGCGCGGCGACGTCGATAGCGAGCCGGCTGCAGTCGCAGGTGCGAACACCGGCTGCGGTCGCCAGACACTCTGGGACGCGGCCAGCGGGGAGGCGGCAAGCGCGCGGGCCTTCCCCAGGCGCGGAGCCTCCAAGCTCGACGAGGCCGCCGGGCCGCGGCGGGGCACCGGCGGCGAAGATGACGTCGTCGTCGCATTGCCGCTGCCGCTGCCGGTGGCCAAGGGCTGCTTGCGCACCAGCGAGGCCGAAGACTTGAGGCCGAACAGACCCGACTGCGGCAGGCCTCCGGGGAGGAGCAGCACCGACCCGGATCCGTCCGACGAGAGCGACGAGGCCCGCGCGCGGCCGAGGGCCAGCGAGTCACGCTTCCGGTCGTGCATGTCCTCCTCGCGATGGTCCTCGTCGCCCACCTCGCCGTCCCACACCACACTCATCCCACCACCACCACCACCACTGGTTGCCCCAGTAGTGGCAGCCGGGCCGTCGTGGTGGTGGTGCTTGCGGTGGTAGGCGTTGAGCGCGCCGAGGGCGTTGGCGCGTCGCTCGCGCTCGGCCTTGAGCCGCTTCTTGATCTCGGCCCGCTTGCGCAGCATCTCCTTCTGCTTCTCGCGTTCGCGCCACTCGCGCTTCATGGCCTCTTCGTTTTCGTCCACCACCCACGTCGGGTCGGGGTCGCCCCACTCGTCGGAGGACCCGTCCGACGAGCCGGACGAGGAGAGGCCGTCCGAAGATGAGGAAGATGATGATGAATCGGAGGAGGACAAGTTATTGCCGCCGCCGTCATCGACGGAGAGGTAGAACATGTCCTCGCGCTCCTCCTTCTCCCGCTCCGCCGCGCGGGTGAAGATGAAGCGCGACTGCACCGAGTACAACATCGAACTCGTCGAGACCAGCATGACGGATGAGACGATCAGCGCGTTCTTCTGCCGGTCCGCGAAGAGGGCGTTCGATGAAACCGCTCTCGATTATTAAGCCTTAGCCCCGCCCACCGAACTAATCTTAATCTTTGTCCTCTTCGCTTTTTAGCCCCCTTCGTTCTTTTTTTCTTTTTTAGTTACCTCCGCGTGGTCTGTGTGCTTGGTGTCCCGCAAGACGACCAAAGCGACCGAAGCGGGGGGGGGGTAGGCTCTGTTCAGCTTGACCGTTGCGTTGGCTTGGTGGTGTTTTTTAATATTGAAAAAAGTGGTGATTGGCCTTGGGCGATCACACAGCAAAAAAGATCTATTTACACGCTCTGTGTGATGGAGAGGAAGATGGGGGTATGTACATCTCTACCAATTATTGGAAGGGGGAAGAAGGGGGGATGGTGATCGTCGTCGACGTTTGGTTCTATACTCTGCTGGGTGTGATCTTCGGTGTCGCCGCAACCCAGCTCAACACACGATGGCCTCCTCTTCGGGGTCCTCCTCGGGCAGAGAGAAGTCGTGAATTCGGATGGTGCGGTCGTTGGAACCCGAGATGACTGTAGAAAGAATGGAAGAGAGGCGTTAGGTCGCTTTGTACCCCGTGGGGGGGAAGAACTGCAGAGAGACGGAAAGAAGGCAGGTTGCATACTCTTCGTGGAGTCGAACTGGAGGCACCACACGCGGGATGTATGATAGTCGAGAGTGCTGACGCACTGGTTCGTCTTCAGATTCCAAACCTGCGGAGAGACGCGCAAGGTCAGGTACATACGTGAAGAACATAGGGTGCGCGATGCGCGTACCTTGATGAGAAAATCGCCAGCCCCGGTAACGAGCTTGTTGCCTTCGAACTGCAAACACAGCACACGGCCTGAAAAAATGTAAATGAGAGGAAGCTGTCAGTTCTGTGCCAGCTACGACGATAGTTCGTGACGAGCGATGGAGAGCCGAGAGATCAGATTCGCCTTGCTGGAATCAGTTCCGAAAGGAGCGGCCGTAATGATAATAAGAAGAAGAATAACAAAGTAATAAGAAGAAAGAAGAAAGAAAAAAGTGGCCGTCTCTTCCTCATGCTAAAGACTATGTCATCAGATTCTGCGTGGTTGCTGAATGGGGGAGGGGAGGAGACCAGGAGCAGGGAGCGCACCTGTGTGTCCGGTCAGCGTCTGTTCGCAGGTGAAGTTCTTCATGTTCCACACCTTCACCGTCGTGTCCCGCGAACCCGAGATGAGTATGTCGCGCTCGTTCTCGTACTGCAGCGTCCACAGACCATCTGTGCGCATTGGGGGGGGGGGAAGAGATGGCGCCAGCCAAGAGAGACGCTCAGTTGGGTTGTCGCCCCGGGCACAGCCGCACACGATGAAAATGACGGAGTGCACGAACCAGTGTGGCCGGTGAAGACGTGGACGGGTTTGGCCTTCCTGAGGTCCCACAAGCTTGATGGTGTGGTCCCACGAGCCGCTGAACAGTCGGTAATTGGCGGCGTCAAAATGGAGACCGCACACCTCCTGGGTGTGCCCCTCCAAGGTGTTGATGCACTGCTTGGTCCGTCGATCCCACACCTAGGCGCAGAGCCACCCGTTGGTAAGATGACAGCGTCCCATTGAGCTTTCACACCACACACACACCTCAGCGAGAAAGGCACCTTGATTGTGTTGTCCTTCGATCCGGAGACGATGTACTGCTCGCTGAAGCGAAGGCACACGACTTCGTCAACGTGGCCCTCAATCACATCTGTGCACTTCTCCGTTTCCAAGTCCCACACGCGCATCGTGTTGTCTGCAGAGCCGCTCACCTGCGCGCGAGCATTGGGGTGATGAAGCATTGAGTGAATCAAGCGCGGACCGCGAGGTGAAGTCAGTGGTTGGTGCCGTACGACGTTCTTGGAGTCGATGCGGAGGGTGCCGACAAACTCGCGGTGGCCCACGAGCTTGGAGATGGTGGTGGGCTTCTTGCCCTCCCGGAACTTGTCCAGGTCCCACACGCGGATGGTCTTGTCGTACGAACCGGACACGATCCTGTCCTCATCAAACTGTTTGCGGACACCAACACCACACACACCCACACACACACCCATAGGGTTAACGGTGAGCACAGCACAGCAATGGAGGAGGAGGAGGAGGAGGAGAAAAGGAACCCACCTGCAGGCAATAGACTTCTTCTTCATGGCCATGGAGGGTGACAACGTTGGGCTTGCAGTGGAGCCACCGGTTTTCGATCTCTGTTCGCTGTTTGAAGCTCTCCATCCAACTTTCGCACGTCTCCCCGCTTCTCCAGTCCCTGCCAAAGGAGCAGCACAGCCAAGGCGCGGTTCCACGAAAAAAGCGAATCAACAACAAAAGCCAAACGAAGCACGAAACTGCACGATTTGGGGGGGGGTTGGAAGGAGAAGAGTCGATGAGAAGGTAGTGGAGACGCACCTCCATTTACAAGAAGAAAGCCAATGTCGATGGTAGAGAGCCTTCCACAGGAGGTGCTCATCGTAGAGGAGGTTGCGCCAGGCAACGCTGGCTGAGCTGAGATTTAATACGGATTTGATGTCGAGGAAGCTGCCGATGAGAATCAGCACCTCAGGGGGCAATGTAAGAAGCTCACACCCGCCTTCATCCTTGCTTGTGGAGTTGGTCATCTCTTTGTTGATGTTGGTGTTGCGATGGCGCATGTAAATTGCCTGGAATTTACAAAAGCGCCAAGGTGGTGGGTAGCCGCGGGCAAGGAAGGAAAGAGACGGGGTTGATCGATTGAGAGTTGCACCAAATGCAGCGCGAGGGCACGACTTGATTTTGCAGGTCTCGTAGCGGAGCAGAGCGACGCGGGGTGCTGTGTAATTTTTTGATATTTTTTGTGATGGCTTTCGTTTCGGCCATTTCTGCGCGTCCTTTCCTTCGGTTGTCTGCTGTTGTGCCGTGTGGGTCCCGAAATGGCCGTTTTCCAAGCGTTTCCGCCCGGTGTCTGCCCTTGTCGTCGACATGGTCACTGCCTCGTGCTGGCCACTGGACGAAAAGGCGTTGAAGATGCACAGGAGACGAAGAGCGTCGTTATTCTTATTCATTTTATTATTTTATGTATTCATAATAATATACTGCCATGAAATTGTTGGGAATGATTGCAGTGAATGAACTATTATAATAACTGTACCTGTTTTATGTGTGCCTTCCCTGCCAGTTCCTTTTCCCCTCTCGATTCGCGCTGAAGAAAAGTCTTGAAGATGGATTTTGATCTCGACCTCGACCTGGAAGATGAAAACGACGCGGTAAAAGTAAAGGTGAATGATGAAGACTTCTTGTCTCTTCTAGACGACCTGGATGCAGCTGCTTTCGTGTGCGCCACTCAAACGCCCCTGACCCTGGCCGAGCTGTGCCACCAGACCATCATCGACCAGTGCGCTGCCGTCTTCTCGGCCATCATGCGAGGCGAGCAACAGCGTGCCAGCAGGGAAGAGGAGGAAGAAGAGCAGGACGCGGGCCTGCTGCTGCCGGCGGAGCTGGCGGACGAAGTGGCGGCGACCATGTCCGCGCGTCGGCTGTGGACCAACGAGCTGTTCGAGTTTGCGCTGAGGAGGGTGGGCATGAGCGTGGTGGAGCTCTCGGGCCAGCCTCGGTTGACCCGCGCCGGCCCGCTGCTCAACTCCCCGCGCTACCTCTCGAACCTGCGGCGTCTCAACGTTGCGTCCGTGACCCTGGGCTCGTCGCTGCTCGAGCTGCGCGCGCGACCGCTGCTCGAGGAGGTGGTGCTCAAGAGCACGGACCTGCATGCGGTGACGCTGGCTGACTGCCCGAACCTGCACCTCGTCGAGCTCGCCACCACCGACCTTCAGTCCTTGCGCGTTGAGAGGTGCCCCTCGGTTGAAACGTTCAGCCTCCAGACCAACCACGTCGTACGACACACACACACACACACACCAACGACACGACACACGCCTCGCTGGTTACCTGCCGTTGACAGTCTTGGCACCGACAGGTGGATGCGGCCGTTGCGCAAGTCGTTGAAGGCTGCCCTAACCTCCGCGACCTGCACTACACCGCCAGGCCTGTGCGGTCTGCGGTACTTGCCGCCCCAGCACTCCCTGATCTGCGCGGGAGCGCGCTCACCCCCAAGCATCGGTGTGCGATGAATGGATGCAGAAGGAGATCGACGGGCAAGAGGTCCCCGTCGTGTTGCGGTTGGCCGACAGGGAAGCGCAGCTCGAGCGGCTGGAGATATTCCACAGCGGCATCCGGAGCATCGAACTGACCGGCGGCTGCCCGCACCTGAGCAAGCTCACGCTCCAGCGCTGCCGCCTCCTTCGCTCGGTCCACATCACCGAGGCCAGGTCGCTGACGCACCTCCGTCTGGACAACATCAACAACAGGCGCGACTGGCCGGGACCGGCCGGGACCACGGACGAAGCTGCTGGCGCTGATCAAGAAGAGGTGGAGGAGGCGTTCGTGCGCATCGAGGACGCATCGCATCTGGCCGTGGTCGAATTCAGGAACGTCAACGCGCACTACCTGGACACCCTGAAGAGCATCTCGCGGGACCTGCAGTCAATCAAGCTCATCCACCTCGTCCACGGCGCCGTGGAGCCACGTGCGCACGACATCGCCCGGCTGCTGCTCGAGCGCGACGCCGCCTGTGGGCTCTCCGCACTTCGGTTGCTCCACCTGGAGCTCACGCGGGAGATCGACGACTTCGTGCTGCTGGCCAGCGGCAACACATCGGTCCTGCCCGCGCTCTGGCGTCTCGTCCTGATCGGCAAGCCCATCCGCAACGTGGCCGTCGGCGGTATGCCCGAGCTGTCCAGCGTGGAGCTGGGCGACTGGCACGACGGGTCGCCGACGGGCGACGCCAGCCGCGACATCATCGACGGCCGCGTGTCGGTGGCTGGCCCCATGGTCCGCACCGTCCAGCTGTGCTCGCTGCGCGTGCGCGACCTCCACATCGACTGCCCGGCCACGCGCCATCTGCTGTGCTGGAGCACCCACGTCCCGCCGCACGAACTGCAGCGCTGGCCGACAGCTCTGCCGGCCCTGCATGTGGCCGAGCACTCAGGCCTCGCCGACGAAGACGCCGAGCGTGCGCTCGGGCACGCCCAGTACCGGCCTCGACACTACGACGGGCAGCCCAGGCGACCGGACTCAGCCAGTGGCTGAGGTAGGTAGATTAGAGAGATAGATAAGATAGATATTTTTAAAAAAAACGAAATATATCGCGTGTGATTCGTTGTACCGTCTGGTGGCGGGTGGTGGGGATCATCACGATGGGGTCCAGGCCGTCTTTGCGTCGCTCGACGAAGAGGGCGATGCCGGGTGTCTGGTGCAAGTGCTCAGGGCAGCCGCGCTGCTGGTCGAGAGCGTCCCCTACCAGCGCCTCACCCCCGGTTACACCCAGGCACGTACCACGCAACCCCTCCCCTGCCGTGTCGTGTGTGCGGTGGTGGTGTGTGTGTCCTAATGGCGCTGGTGGAGAACGGAGGAGGTTGACGGACAAATAATTCATGTTGTTCGTTCGGTTGGCTTGTGTACAGTCGGGGTCGTGCCGTGTGTTTTGTGTCTCGCTCTTTTGTTGGATTTGGGGTTGTTGGCCGGACTGCAAGTGGCTCGCCGTCGCCAGGATCGAGCGATCGACTGTGTTCGATGTTCCTTCCGTTTCGCCACTTCGCGTCCACCATTCGCCTTCGCGCGATGTTCCTTTCTTCCTCCTTCGCTCCTCGTTCCGTTTTTCCTCTTGTCGCCTTCGCCGTAATGCCAGTCTCGGTCTTTTAGTTCGACTTGGCCTTGGTGTTTGTGTTCGTGTCGGCGCACACCACGCATACGCGCACTGGCTCCTTCATGCCCTTGTCGGGCAGACGCATGCGGTGTGGCGTGCACTGGTCACAAAATATTTGCCCTGTAAAGGTTCATGTGGACGGCACAACAACAACAACAACAGAAGAAGAAGAAGAAGAAATGAGAACATGTTGTCAACCAACGCGCAGGCGGAGTGGGTGACGTCAGGCGTACCGCAGTTACGGCAGTGGTGCTGCATTGTTGTAGAGCGCAAATCGAACACGGGGGGGGGGGAGAGAAAAGCAGCAATGAGACCAGCGAGAACAGAACCATTCACATGTACGCATATTTTCCCCTTTTGGTGCAAACGCTCAATTGGTGAGGGAAGGGGGAAAGGTACCTTTCTGACGATGAGAGTGAACTTCTTCGAGCAGTGCATGCACTCGGGAGTCGTGTTGTCGGGCTGCCAGTTGTCGTGGCTGTATTTGCTCTGCTTGCGTAGGAAAAAAAGGGGGACATGAGCAAGCGCGCCTTTGGGGGGGGGACGAAAGAAGGTGAAAGAGTACCCGGGAAACGTTCTTGTCGGCCTTGGCCCCCTTGGCGTCGGCGGGGCCGTTGGTGGGCTTGTCGGTCTTGGCGGCGGCCTTGGTGACGGGCTCGAGGAGGGCGCGGATTGCGGGCTCCTTGGCAAAATCAATGGGGAGCTCGCCCTTGGTGGTCCTCACGTTGGGGTCGGCGCCGTGGTCGAGCATGAAGCGCACGGCGTCGGGGTTGCCCCACTTGACCACCGAGTGGAGCGAGGTGGTGTTAATCGTGGTACCGGCATTGATGTCGGCGCCGGCGTCCAGCAGGGTCTGGACGGTCTGCTTGAAGCTGTCGAGGGAGGCGAACGACTGCGCGTTGGAGGCGCACATCCGGAGGGGCGTGTTGTTGAACTTGTCGCGCGCGTTGACGTTGGCACCGTGGTCCACGAGCAGGCGCACGAGATCGGTGAGCGACTTGCCGGCAGCCTCGTGAAGGGGCGTGAGCATGGTCTCGGACAGCGCATCGACCGAGGCATTGGCCTTGAGGAGCGCCTCGGCCACCTCGCGGTAGCCCTTGTCGCCCCCGCTGGCGGCGTTGTGGAGAGCGGTCCAGCCCTTCTGGCCCTTGATCTCGAGGTTGGCGCCCGAATCGATGAGCGTGGTGGCGACGTCAATTTTGCCGCGATCGATGGCAAGCATGAGGGCCGTGTTGCCCGTCGACGATTGGGCATCGACATCGGCGCCGGCCTCGATGAGAACCTTGACCGCGTCGAGCGAACCGCAGCAGGCGGCCGAGATGAGGGGCGTCAGCTTCTGCTTCTCGGATCGAATGTTGACCTCGACGCCGGCCTCGAGCAGCGCACGAACGACATCGACGTAGTTCTTCTCGGCGGCGATGTGGAGGCCGCAGCAGCCGGCATGCTGCGACGAGAAAGCCGACGGATTGGCGCCATTTTTCAACAGCAGGCGCACGAGATCGAGATTGCCCTTGCCCGCAGCCGCGAAGACCGGCGGCGAATCGCCGTCGACCTTGGCGCCTCCCTTGATGAGAATCTCGGCCACATCGGTGTGGCCCTTGAGGCAGGCCAAGTAGAGCGGCGTGCAATCTTCCACCACGGCCTCCAGGTCCAGCGGCGCGCCTTGTGGGCTGTTGATCAGCTGTCGCACCTTCTCGGTGTTGTTCTGCCACACGGCTTCGTGGATCTCACTGGTCCATCCCACCTGCTGCTCTCCCCCCTCCTCTCCCTGCGGCTCCTGACCGTCGCTCATTCTTCTTCTCTTCTCTGCTCTCGATCCTCTCGGATTCACGAATAGCGGCGGATTGCAATCCTGGAAATCGCATTGTGCCAGGTTGGAAGATATGTTAGCACGTGTGCCCCATGATGCAAGTCGACTCGTAATGCTCAATTCGACTCAAAATGCATCAAGTAGTGATCATAAGATGGGGGGTAAAATTTATAAAGGATGGGAAGTGGAGGTAAAGAAGAATAGGACGAGAGATTCGCGAAGCCATCAAGCAAGAACAGAACACGCACCGGTTCGAAGGGAGTCCAATTCGAATCGCTTCTTCCACTGACGGCAAAGGGGAAGTCCTTTTCCTTCTCTGCTGTCGCTGCGTCGCCCTTTGCCAGTCCAAAAACGCCCACAAATTGTGTCGCGATCCGAGCCGTCGACAGAAAGCCAAACAATCCAGAAAAGGCGACGCAATATTAATAATCATCGCGCGCAATGCAAATACCTTTCTTCAGTCGGGAGGAATGCTTGGCACGCTTGGTATGGTACGACCGCGAACCGGCAACCGTGGTGGCTGGCACCTGCGAAGTACAATAACCAAAAAAAAATGGAGATGGAGGAGACACCAGCCATCGACGAGGTCCCCACCGTGGCATTTGTGGTGGCTCTCAAGAGGAACGTGCCACCTGCCGTCAAGTACTCCTGCCCCCCCCCACTGCTTTGCAACGTCTCGTTATTGTTGACAGGTGCCCCCCCTCCGGGTGTGCGTAAATGAAAGGGCTACGCAATGGGGCGAATTCAGTGAGTACGGCTGCATAGAGCTGCAGGCTGGCGGCACCATCCGCCTGTTCGAGATGAAGGACAAACAGGCGGGCCGTCTCCTGGCGGTGTCGTCGATCGAGGGCCTCAGCGGCGTCGCCGACAGCACCCGCTACTTCTTTCTTAGCGTGGAGAGAAATGCCCTCGCACCTCCTCTCCCTCCCGGTGCCCCAGGCACGTGCCTTCATCTATCCACACACAACACACACACAACACCTTTACCGACGAATGCATCTATGCGCGTACAGAGCCGGGTGTGGCAATCGCGTTTTACTCGAAGCAAGAGATGGAGAAGTTTATGTTTGCCGTCAATCAGCGTCGCCAGGACGGTCTGCGACCCAAGATCGAGCGCGAGCGTAGCATTCTCATGTGGGAGACCGGTGGACAAGGCCTGGCCGGGCCGTCCATCGACAGTCGACGGGACACCGAGGAGTGGGAGGAGTCGGGTACCGACGGCGACCACGAGCCGTTCCTCACCGTCCCGCCCAAGGACATGGTGGCCCGACTCGAGGAGCTCAAGAGCAAGGTCAAGAGCGGCAACCGGCGCAAGGGCCGCACGCAGGAGATTGTGATCACGCGCTCGACGCCCGCCGCCAGCCCAGGGGCGAGGGCCGCCTCCGGGCCGCCGCCGATCTCGTCGTCCGACTCCTCGGTCGGGACGATCAAGGCGCGGGACAAGAAGGAGGAGGTGGGGCAGTTCCTGCGCGAGCGGTGCATCCTGCTGTCCGGTGACCACGCGGCCATGGAGAAGATCATCGCCGCCGTACAATCCTACGGCCTGCAGACCACCGTCGATATCGGCAAGCGAATCATGGACGACACACTGCTGGTATGCTACACGCGCTACTCCCTCCCTCGGCACTTTTTCTTTTTGGCCCTGTACTCAACCGACAGTTGCACATGCGCAGGAGTTATACCCTGCGGTGCCGGTGTCGATCATCACGCTGCTCGTGGACTTCTATACGGCCGCCACGTTCAGCACAGATGGAGCCATCTACGGTGACCTCCGCCCCTCTATCGACCAGTGCGGCTCATGACGGAAAGATGGGACTGACCATCTTTTTCTTCCCTTCCCCCCCCCCCGCTTCAAACACCAGGCGAGGCGCGGGGTGAGGTGGCGATGCAGGAGCCGCCAAAACTCTGGCGACAGTGGCGCAAGATGCTTGCCGACATTTTCTTCTTCTTCGAGTAGCTACTGACCCCCGCCAACGTTATCTTGGCTCGATCGCGGCTGACCTTCTTCTTCTTCTTCTTCTTCTTCGCCCTGCGCACCAGATACTTGTACGAGGAGGGCGCCGGACCCACGTCCCAGTGGCCCAGCAACAACCGGCGAAAGGGGCAAGCCTACCGGCACGACCTCAACGACCGACTGGTCAAGGAAGACAAGCAAAAGTATGACCAGCGGATCGCCATCAGGGACACCAGCAAGTACTCACTTATTCCTCCGCTCATCAGCCCCTCCTCCCCCCGCGAGGGCTATCGTCACTAACACTCTTTGCTCTTTCTTCGCCCGCGCGGCGGGTGACGATCGGCTTGCCGTACGCAGTATTATACGAGCAGAGATTCTGGCGGTACGCGCCTACCACACGTGCGCTCGCTCCTCTTTGGCCGCTTGCTCACCACACGATGGGTACCTTGCGTTCTGGGTTGTGGGTTGCGCAGACGCTGGGAATGGGGAGCAACATCGGCACGGCAGAGGACATGATGAAGCGGCTACGGAGCGCGCAGCTGACAGAGTCGCAGGGCGCGTTCATGAAGAAGAACGTGTTCCAGGAGGAGATGAAGATGCTCAAGCGATCCTATACCGAGGGTCGCCTCTCCATCGACGTCATGGACGCCCTCAACGAGGCCGACTCTGAGGAGAAGGCTGCGGGCAGCAGCCCGAACCCAGGCGCGGGCGGCAGCGGGGCCGGGGTGGAGGAGCCCTTCGACGAGCAGATCCTTCTCGACTCCTGCGAGGGGCGAAGCCTCGAGACCGGCCAGACCGATGGGGACAAGCAGCGACCCCGGGCCATCTGTGTCAACGATTCGTCCGAGGTATGTACCACCCGTGAGCCGCACACGCGCACGCGCACGCACCGCCGCACACATTCACTAAGCGTCGCGCACGTTGTGCCGGCCGGGTGACTAGGGCCCCCGCCCGCCGACTCCGAGGTCGTCCGGTGTGGTGAGGCAAGCCGACCTCGAGCGTGTTTACTCGAAGCTCTTCGAGAAGGCCCAGGTACGCCCGTACTTCTGCGCCATTCCGTGTCTCCACATGCGTCCATTTACGACGCTCTAACGAGCGTCACCCCTGACTGTGGCACGACACCAACGCGGCGACGACGGCGGTGTGGATGTTGCGTGTGCACAGGACCCGGGGGAGAAACTACTCGCGCAGTCGCTCATCTTCGTGAGCGGCGGGCAGTATTCCGCCTCCGCCGCGGTCAGCGCTGCCACCGCTGGCGCCGCCACCGCGAACACCGCCCCCGCGGTCCGGACACAGGGCCTTAGCACCGTGGCGCCCCACATCGACGACCAGGCTCCGCTCCGAGATTTCGCCCGAAGACGGATGGCCGGCGAGTATGCACCCCCCCCCCAATCTCGCTTCGCTCTATTTCTCATCGCCGTCTTCTCTCTTTGCCCCCCCCCCCGTGTGTGTGGTCGACCGATCCACGCTCGCTGCAGTGTGTTGGGTGCCGACGGCCGGATACGAGGGATCGCGATGCGAGAGGAATCACCCATGCAGGACGGCGAGCTGGTGGTGCGGTTCTTTGGGATGAAGGACGAGGACAGCTCGCTCCACGTCGCCATGAAGGTCATCCAAGGTGCCTACCACACCTCAACTCACGCCCGGCCGGCGCAAGAGCGTGCGTGATCTGACCTTAAGGACCGCGGCGCTGCCAACAAAACACGTCGAACAGAAACGATCGACACGGGGCCGTTCTTCCTGAAGGGCAAGAAGAACAAGATCGTGTCGGCCAAAGGGGGCGGCTCGGAGACACGCAAGATGAAGCTCACTCCGGCTTCTACCACATCCTCTTGGTATGCGCCCTCCCTCCCCGTGAATTACCGCCCACGCTGACCACTCACGTGCCGCCGCCGCCACCACAGGAGATGCATAGGCAATGCCTGGTCGAACACGGGGTGGATCTCGTGGACCACATCGTGGCGCGCGCGGGTATGAACCACACCACGTCATGCCACGCCATCACAGCCGGCCCGTCGTGCTACTGCGCTTGTGCTGACTCGCGCGCACTCACATCCAGGGAGCGACCAAACGAAGCGGGTGGTGTTCACGGGCCACAGCATGGGCGCGGCGATTGCAGCCATGGTGGCCTACCAGGCGGTGGTGCGCTACCCGGTCTTCCGGATGCGGCTCTACCTGGTACTTCTGGGCTCTCCGCGCTTCGCCCGCCGCACCTTCACCGCCTGGCTCAACTCCGAACTGCGCTACCGCATCCTACAGTGCGCCCCCTCTCTGTCGCCCCCCCCCCCCAACAACCACCACCACATAATCTTTTTCGCGTGGGCGTCTCACCTCGCTCTCACCGCCCTCCAGTATCACACTCGCTGGCGATCAGGTGCCCAAGTCCCCACCCGTTCCTCCCTTCGTACGCCTCCTGACGCCAGCGAACTCGAGTTGCTCCTGAACTGACCTGACTGCTGCGGGGGGGGGGCGCAATGCAGTTCGGGTGGTACACGCCAGGGGAGAGGCTCGAGATCAACTCGGGCAACCTCTTCGTGAGCAAGGCGGCCTCCAACACCGTCCACTTCCAGTATTGGGAAGTGCTGCGCACGCTGCTGGCCTACGACTGACGTCAGTCGCCCACGCACAGGCCAATGCTGTATTTGCTTCAATTTTGTGTGCAGACGGCTGGGCATCACCCCACCGGCGGCTGCAATGTACATCAATCTATATTTCCACCTCCCCTGTCGCATTACTATCGTGAGGCACGATCATCATCTCGAGTCGCGAAGCGAGGCGTAGACGGCCTGGCTGCCGCTGCCGTCGCTGCTGTAGACTTCATCGCTGGTGGTGCTAGTGGCGCCATCGTCGCTCTCGGCCGATTCGCCGTCGGACGAGTCGCTGCTGTCGTCTTCGCTGTCCGGCCCGTCGCCGTCGCGGCCGTAGTCGAGGTCGGCCAGCTTGTTGCCCAGGTCGTACATGGTCGGGCGCTGGTCGGGGTCGGCCGCCCAGCACGACTCCATGATCCTGAACACCTCCTCGGGACACCCGGCGGGGCACGCCAGCGGCACCCGGCCGATCATCTCCTCGACCCGCTCCTCGTCGTCGTCCCCGTGCTCGCTGAACGGCAGCTTCCCGCCGCTGAAGATCTCCCACATGACCACCCCGAAGCTCCAGCTGTCGGACTTGGGCGTAAACTTCTGCCACGCGATCGCCTCGGGGCTGAGCCACCGCGCGGACGCCTGCTGGTAGTGGCCGGCAGCTTCGAGCGCCCTGCGAACGAAAACAATTTATGTTCAATTGAGGGAGGGAGGGCGGCCACGGCGAGATAGAGGGGACGGGCATCGTCGTACTTGAGGAGGCCCGCGTCGCAGACCTTGACGATGTTGTAGCTGCGCAGTCGCTCGAGCACCAGGTTGCCCGCCGTCAGATTACGGTGCACGATCCCGTGCTGGTGCAGGTGATCCATGCCCGCGGCCACGTCCTTGGTGAGATCGATGAGCGTGTGGAGCGGCAGCTTCTTCTTCCGGCTCTGGAGGTAGTCCCGCAGCGTGCCATCAGGAACGCGCCTGCAGTCAACGTCCAGTCAATGTCATTGAGTGCGATGTGTGCGTGCGTGCTCACTGGAGAGGGTGCGCGTGTACTCGTAGACTAGGTAGAGGTGGTCGGCGTCCTTGGCCACGCCCATGAAGGCCACCACGTGCGGATGACTCGACACCAAACTGTCGACCGAAAAGGTTGTTGTGTGTCATCAACAATCCACCACGCGCCGATGATTAGCCCACGAGAACGAACCTGAAGAGCTTGGCTTCGTTGAGGAAGATGGTCTGGTTGACATTCTTGTTGAGTCGACGGATGACGACGCTCGTGTGGTTCCGCAGGCGGCCCTCGAACACCTCCCCGGTGCGGCCCTGCGCGAGCGTCTTGCCCAGCTTGAGGTCCGCAAAGTCGATCGCGCGCGCCTCCACGTCCCGGTCACGCGTGGACAGCACCCCTGGCCGCACACGCACACGCACACGCACACGCACACGCACACGCACACGCACACGCACACGCACACGCACACGCACACGCACACGCACACGCACGCAAGTCAGCTTTGGAGCGATCGAAGAAAAGAGCGAAAAAGAGCGAAAACGATCAACGCGTGGTGGCGGCGAGCCGAGACGTACGCGGGAAAGCGAGCTTGAGGTGCTGGATGTGCGAGAAGAGTTTGTTCCTCGGACCCAAGCGATCGAGTCCCAGCTTGGCCAGCTCCTCTTCCGTCAGCTCCATCAGCGTCTCCATGTCTAGCTCGCGCGTGTAAGACCAGACGAACAAAACGCGAAGAAGAACGAAAACGAAGAACGAAGGCGTACCAATTTCGTGGGCCACGAAGCTGGGAAGGAACTCGGCCAGCTGCAGACCCTCCAAGAGCCGAGACACCTCCGGGTCCTATCAATACGCCGGCCACCCGGGTGGCAGGTCACCACTTGGGAATTGACAAGATGGTAAGGAAGATGTTGGGGGGGGGTACGTGGAAGGTGGGCAACAGGTGGGACTTCGGCTACGGCTGCCCACACATCGGGCGCCTGAGGGGCGGCGGTCGTGGTGGCGACTTGGCCCGTCGCATGCAAGCTGCTGGCCGGAGGTGGCACAGACCCCTTCCTCGCAAACATCTTTTATTTATTATTTTATGATTTATTTTCATTTTGCACACAAAAAAGAAAACAAAATAAATAATAAATAACTCATCGCTCAGTTGTGGAAGTGAGTGGGAAGGTCGGCTGTGCCGTGGAAGGTGACGCCTGGCCCGCCCACCTGTGATTGAGCAGTTCGAAAGAGAGGAGTGAGCGAGATCCTAAGAAGACGAAACAGTGAGGAATGGCCAAAGCGTACGCCGGTGGTGAGGGACGAACTGGGGCCGAACTCTCGGTCGAGGTCGGCGATGAGCTGCTTGGTCTGCTCCTCGCTCGTTTCGTTCGTGAGGAGGGTGAACGCGCATCCGCCACCACCGGCGCCCGTCAACTTGCTGTGCAGCTTTTGGTAGTTTCATGCATTGACGAGTCAGCACCCTCCATCATCATAAAAAAAGAGCGAGCACCCCCTGGATGGCTCCACAGGTGAGCTGCGTACCTTGTACTGGGCCGATAGGAGGCGAATTTTGTCCAGCTGAGGGTGGCCCACGCCCACGGCGTTGAGCAAGTGATGGTTGACGTCGATCAACGACGCCAGGTGTGTGTGCAACTCGCCTGCACAGACACAACGCAGTGAGCGATCGATCGAATCGGTAAGAACCAACGGACAACGAGTCAGTCGAGCGCGCACCTTCCGAGGCCTGCGAGTTGGCTGCGGCGGCGAGGTAGCCGATGGCCTTGACGGTGAGGGCATGGATGGAGTCCAGCACGGGATCGATCACCTCCGGGTAGCGCTACAGCAGAGGAAGACCGAAGTGAGTGAACCAAAGAAGTTGAAGGTGACGGCTGTGTAGTGAGAACAGGCGCAGCACCTCGCGCAACGTTCTCACGCCAGCCACCAGCACCGAAGTTTTGCGCGGCACGGCTGTGTTGGTGAGCACAAACTGGAGCGGAGGGAAGCTGGTTGCATGAAGAGTGGGGAGGGGATAAGTAATCAAAAACTCATCACGCACGGCCAGGGCCACGCAAGTCGTTGCAACCCACCTGTCCAAGTGCTCCATCACACCCACGACGCGCCCTTCGACTTGCTTTCGATGGAAGGTCAGAGCACCACCTGCCCAGCGAATGCGTGAGAAAGAAGGTGGCATGTCTTGCGCTTCGTGCGCAGCAAGTAGTGGTGGTGGTGGTACCGAACGTGGCGATGGAGTTGTCGATGCCCGACGGTGTGCCGTGGATGATCTTTTCGGCCTTGAGCGCCCATCGGTTGATGTTGGCCTTGGACGTGGCCGCGTTCTCAGTGGGAGCGCCATCGGCGCCGTGCGAGCCATGAAAGTGCTGGAGCAACGCGGCGGCGCACGACACCGAGAAGGCTGCCGACGAACCCAGGCCGGCGCCCACGGGCACCGTCGATCGGATGCGCACTCGCACACTCTCCGTCGCCTTCGTGCCGCGGTCGGCTGCGGCGGTGGCCAGGGAGAGGTAGAGATAGAGGAACACCACCAGCGCCGAGAAGTGGTGCTCGCTCTCGTCGGCCCGCTGCGCGCACAGGACCTTGAGGGCCTTCACCGCCGCGTCGTCATCGGCGGGCTCAGCGGCCTTTTCGTCGGCGTCGGTGAGGGAGACGCCGTGGAAGTGGGATCGCAGCGCCTGCAGCTCGGGGAGTGCGAAGGCCAAGGTGGGGGCAGATGGGAGGTCGGGCAGCTCCAGCGCCACAACTCCCTCGCCGCCCGCAGTCAAGTGGGCAAACGTGCGCAACTGCTCCCGGCGCGAAGATGGGGCCAGGTGGAGTGAGTGACGGCGGCAAAGTGACGTGAAAGAATGAAGGAATAGATGCGACGGTGGGTGTACGTTGGAGAGAGAAGCCGCAAGAGCGGTCTTGCCGAACACCACAGCATGCTCCCCAAACAAAATCACCTGTGATAGCAAAAAAGACAAGATTATCATTATTCACATGATTAATCGCAGCATGGCGTTAAATCGGAACTATGCCTTGCCAGGCGCAGAAGCGATGATGGGCGCGGAATCCATCCTCACTGGTTGCAATTTATCTGCTGGTGGCGCCCAGTTTCCTTTGTTTTATTCTATTTCAATTATTTTATTTTTATTTTGTGCTGAAAACAAAACGCAACACAACACGATGGGCGAACTTGGGTCCGTCGAGTCCAGCTTTGGAGGAACCTCCATCTTCAAGCAGGCAGGGCAGATAAGAAGGGAGGTGCAAGGTGCGTTGCCTTCGCCTGCAACATCAGAAGGTGAATCACTCAATTTTCTTCATTCTTCGAAATGCTGTGTATATCACTGCACAGCACCTGGCTCGTTCAAAACGCTCATCGGTGCCGGAGTCCTTCTCATCGGTCTCGGCATTTGCTTTGTACGTTGCTGCTTTTTTGCATGGCGTGCAGTATGTTGGAATTTAATCGTTCTGTTCCTCAATTCCTTTCGTCCACCTCAGGCAGGATTGGCGCTCACGCTGCGCGAGATTCGCAAGTTCGCCAAAAAGCCTCCACGGCCACAGCATGGGCAATAAAGATGTTTGAGAGAGGCACAAGTCTTGATGGGGGCGAAAGAGACGGAAGTGGGTCGTGCATCGAGAACTGTCTTTTTAATGCCTTATGTGTGACAGAAGAGTGGAAGAGAACGCCGTTAGGTGACTTACACCTTGAAGCCGACAGACTTCCTCCTACCCCTAGCCCTCTCGGTCTTCCTGCTCCTGTTGGCGACCTTGGGCCTGCACAGAGTAGAAATAGTGTGGTGAATAAAAAGATGAAGCCAAAAAGAAGATGGTGAATTGGCGCGGGAGTTGTACCTGGTGGTGCTGTTGGGGACACCGGGAGCGCCGAAGTGCTTGGTGGCCTTCCTGGCGGTCTTGCGACCCCTAAGGAGGACGGTGTTGGCTCCGGTGGGGGCACGGAGGGCGAGCTGATCGAAGGTGAGGATTTCACCGCCGGCCTTGAGGATGCGGGTGCGGGCGCCCTCGGTGAACCTCAGAGCGCACACGGTCAGCTTGGGGAACTTGAGGAGACGGGCATCATCGGTGACGGTGCCGACGACAACGGCGATCTTGTCCTCCTTGCCCTTGGTGAAGCGGGCGAGCTTGATGAGGGACAGGGGGGGCTGGTTGGTCCTGCTCATGCAGAGCCTCTTCAACACGACGCGGTTGAAGTCAGCGCCAGTCCTGCGGGCGAGGAACCTGTAGAGCTATTGATGTGCACCGACAAGACGGAGATGAAGGATTAGGAAAGGGAGATCAGGGTGGGACGATCAAGAAGGGGAAAGGAACAGCTCCTACCTTGACGAGCAGAAGCAGGTAGGGATCCTCGGTCTTGGGGGAAGACCTGTTCTTGTTCTTCCTGTGCTTGTGCTCAAGATCAATACCCTACGAATGAGACGAAAGAGATGGCAGGATCAGCATTTCGATTCCAATCCGTTCACCTTCATCCTCATCAGTTGGCCAAGTTCCTTCACAAAGCCCGGCACGCAACAGACCTTGCCCCACAAATCAAGGGGTACGGTGACATACCATGGCTATAGATTAGACGGTCCTCGAACCACGATGACGATACGAAGGGGAGAGAAAGAAAGAAGGAAAGAAACCAGCCCCGCCCCAATCCAACTAAATACCGGCCACACATTCCGTCGACAAATAAATAGAAAACAATTTAAAATCATTTCTTTGCCACAGAGCCGGACGGAGCGCGGTGCGTTCACTCGAGGGTGCCGCCCTTCTCGCGGTCCCTGGCCTCCTTGTTGGCGCTGGCCTTCTTCTTGATGCCGAACCATTTGCGCTTGGGCGAATCGCAACCCTCCTTCTTGACGCTGGGCAGCTGCAGCGGCTCCGACTGGAAGGCCTTGGCGTTTGGCGACGACGACGCTGGCGCGCCCTTCTTCGGCGTCTTGGGTGTCTTGGGCGCACCCTTCTTCCCCGTCGACTCGACCCTTGGCAGCTCGCCTGCAAGCAAGGGCGGTGGTAAGTCTACCACCTCTTTCTTCCTCACGCGGAGTCGAGGTGAACGCACCCGAGAGGAAGCTGCGCGCAGTGTGCTCCTTGCTGGGCGAACTCGGTAAGCGTGCATCGGCTCGAGGCCTGCCGATGACCGTGCCATACAGACCTAGCATTACGTGACATACAAATGAGCAGGAGGTGTGCGACTAGAGAGCAATCACTTCCCACAGGGCGCACGCGGGAAGCCTACCACTGTAGCGCTCATTGACGCCTCCATACTTCTCGATGAGGGCAAGGAAGCTCTGCTGATACTCAGCGTTCTGGTGTCCCAGCACATCGGTCAGTCGGGGACAAGCATGGGAGAAGCGGTGATGGGGTACCTTGAAGATGTCCTTCTTGAGCTTTTCGCATGTGGACGAGTCGTTGATGATCTTGTACAGCCGCACGAGCTCCTGTGACCGCAACGGTCAGGGTCCGCTTTCACACTTAATCGCGCGCAGACACACGAAACGGCTCGAGAACGTACGACAAAGGCGGCTCCGGGGTGGTTGAGCGAGGGATCCTGGTTGTCGACGAAGCGCTTGCTGATCATCTGACACTTGATAAACATCTTGCGCTCGCTAAAGAACTTGCACAACGCGCGCACATCCTGTCCAGAAACACGAGAACGTCAGTCGCAGACTGCGTGCATGTCTCCTGATCCCAAGAATCACTGTGATCACCTTCTCGACCGACTGGAGGCATTTGTCGCCATAACGCTTGGGCTCCATGTCGGCCTCCACGCGCACGGACTCAGCACCGTGCAGATTGAACACCTGCAGCGGGGGAACGATAACAGTAGTCAAACAGCGCGTCGCGTAACTTAACGTCAACAAAGCAAACAAGAGTGCAGACCTTGTGGATGTAGTGGATGGCGTTGTGGGAAATGAGGTTGCCCGACACGACGCTGATGATGTCGAAGAAGTTGGTGATGGCGCCCTTTTCGATGAGGTGCTCCAGCACTCCCGTGTGCCTCTGGATGATGGTGAAGAAGGTGCCCCACGCCGCCCTGTTGAAGGCAAAATCATTGGCGTCCTTGCAGAACACCACCAGCCTGTTTCGCGCACGCGTTCGACCGTGAGCCGATCAAATGTGCTGCACCACCCCAGCGTGGGTGCTTGCAGGGGAGATTTGGGGGTACTTGGAGAGGAACTCGGGAATGCCCACGATCGTCGGGAACGCACCCTCGGCCTTGACCAAGTTGCGCAGCAACAGCAACGCATCTGCACCAATCGAGCAACGAACGAGGGCATTAGGTCCGCACACTCAAGCGCGCACGCACAGGCACACGTACTTGTTTTGACTGCGTAGCCGAGGGGATGTGCGGTGGAGACCGACGAGATGAATGCCAGCAGTTGCCTGGCCCGGGGCTCTGTGCTCGTCGTTCGGAGTTAGTGCAATCGGGGTCCGATACGATGGAGGCACGCGCGCGCGCAACGTGGAAAGAAAGTGCTGCGCAGTGCGTCGTACCTGTGAATGTAAACAAGTATCGCCTACCACCGGGATCCTGGGTGCCGTACGCAACAGATCGGGTCAAACACCTCGACAAGAAGGCACAGAGGCCACGAAAGAGAGTGAAGGGCGCAAGCATGGAACCTTTCTTATGGGGGAGGGGATGTCAACGAGCTTGAGCTGAGCAAACGCCTGGCTCAGACGCGCCAGGAGCGTGGAGCACGTTTCGATCGTCTAAAGAGGTGCGGTACGGTCAACAACGGAGAAGGCGTCAGTGAGGAATGGAGGGGGGAGGCTAAGTACTCGAGGAATCTGCTGAGAGCAGTCAGAGCCGAGGACTTGCTGGAGCAGCGTCTCGAAGTAGTGTCCGTCCTTCCACAGGAAACTGCACGCCAGCTCGTTGGGGTCACTCCCGTCATTGCTGGCCAAGCGAAGCAGCGACTGTGCGGAGAAACCAACCACACGGTGACAGTCAACCAGCCAGCAAGCAACAGAAGGAGAAACAATGCACTGCCGCAGATCACCACGAGCGAAAACCAAGCGCGCCTGTACTTGGAGGCAGGCATCGAGGAAAAGGGAGGAGAGGAGCGGCGAATTGGTCAAGTCGCGCAGGAAGAGCGCCTTGTCGCCGGAGTACTTCTCGCCGAAGAGAGCGGCCCACGGCGCCGTTTGCAGCAACGCGAAGATCAACCTCGCGCCGTACTGCAACCGCCGCCGCCACCACACAAACGCGATCCAGCAGCGCAACGCGCAACCAGAGAATGGCGTCAGCAGGAGCTCGCGTTTGTCAGAGCCACACGGGCCACATGTCAGTCTCACCTGAACGTGGGAGAAGCGGGAGCGGGCGAGCTGGCGCGTCTTGTCGACGATGTCGAGCGTGACGAAGTGTTCCTTGATGGCGGGGAACTTGGCGGCGATGTGCAGTAAGCGGAGGAGGATGAACAGGAAGAACGATGACACGCGCGCCGAGCGGTGGCCCAGAAACTCCACAAGCTGGTTCAAACACTGCGGCTTGCTCTTCAACGCCTCTTGCAGTTTCGTCACCGCGCTCTGCGCGATAGACAGTACACAGGTCACAAAAAAGAACGAAGCGAGGCAAAAAGAGCGAAAAACGAAGAAGCGATCAAGAACGAAAGCGAAGGTATGCCTCGTGCCTCGCACTGGCGGGCGAGGAATGTGGAGCCCAGCGAAAAGAAGACGAACGACTTGCTTTGCGTGGTGGTTGCGATCATGTCGAGGTAGTAGTACGTGAACACCGACTGGAAGATGGTCTCCATCGCCGGGTCGAGGAACGATCCCAGCAACGTGATGCTCTTGATGGTGATTCATGTATGACGAAAAATGAGGAGAAACGGGTTTCTTTTAGGCGCTCAAAGAAAATGAACGGCGTGGTCTCACGGCGTACCTTGCAGGCCACGAAGATGAGTTGAATGAGCTCGGTGTCGTACGGGTAGACCTCCACCGGCATGTCGTTGAAGAACGATATCGAGTAGGCCAGATACCCCAACGCCCTACGGGGGAGCCAGAGCCAGAGTCAGCCGTCAAGAGCTCCACTCCGGAGCCAATCGAAAAAGCCAGCGGCGTTTGGAGGAGGTGAGGGTTTACTTGAGGCCTCCGCCGTTGATGAGCGCTTCGACGAGGTTCTTCCCCGTGTTGCCCGATATGAGGTCCTGCACCAAGAGCGAGAGCTGCAGCAGCGGTGGTGGTCGTAGCCGTGGCGAGTCGCGTGTGGTCGGTGTGAGCTGGGCGAAGAAGGGGAAAATGGGGGGAGGGGGCAAGAGAACCTTGGCGAGGAAGAGGAGGTTGTTGGCGTGGGAGCCATAGAACTGCAGCAGGCGCGCGAAGTTGGAGGAGTCGACTGACTTGGAGATGTACTCCCCCAGGTTGCGCGGCAGGCCCGACTCCTTGGAGGGCTTCATGTGCGCCACCGGCTCAGACAACCTGTTCGACCCGACGGAATCTTAAGAAGAGCGCGTGTCGTGTGTCGCGTGTGTCGTGCGGAAGAAGGAAAGAGACACACCGATCTTGGAACTGGTCCAAGTAGAGCGAATTTTGGAGGATGGCCTCGATGTCGGCCAGGCTCATCGTCTTGGCCCCGGAGGGGATGGCCTTCAGCACCTCCTCCAGCTCTGCCTTGGCCTTGTCGTGCACCTTCGCGAGCCACCATCACAAAAGCTTCGGTGAGGTCACCATTCAGAGTCGTGCACATTGGGATCGCGAACGAGGCGGTCCGCACCTGCTGCGGCAGCATCGGGAAGTTCCAGGCGTTGAGGTGGTCGTAGCGATTGCGGCCCTGCTCTCTTCTCAGCTCGCGGAGCTTATCGACTCTGTTTGGTTGCAACGGTGCAAAAGCGAGCGATCAGCCAGAGAGCAGCGAAAGAGAGACAACTTTGTGTCGAAGAAGACTGGCGCATCAATACCGGTAGGCCTCGCCCCTGTTGGAAACGCTCGAATCGTTGGCCAGCAGCAGCATCCGATCGCCCTGCTTGGCCGTTCCCTGGACGATCGCACGCAACATGCGTTAGGACTGTGTGTGTGTGTGTTGTATCTGGGACGGAGCAGCAGAGAGGGTGCGTACAAGGCTTGGCGCGGGGCAGTGGGCGAAGGCCGAGAAGGCCTCCGAGCGGTACTCGTTGGCGTGCAGCTTGTCAAACTCCAGCGGCTCGATGCTGACCAGCGGAATGTTGAACTCGACCTTCTTCCCGTTGATCCCCTCAGGGCAGTCGTAGCAGTCCTCCACCATCTGCTCCGTGAGATCCTGACGCCCTGCACCGCATGCCTGTCAGTCGCGCAACGCGTGCTCGTGCGCAGCGTGTGCGGCGGTGACGCACTCAGAGGCACAGGCCTGTAGCCGGGTGGACGGGGCGTCTTGTAGTGCGTGGGGAAGGTGCCGTGGATGACCGGCAGCATAGGCTTATTGAACGATCCGTGCTCCTGCGCGTGTTATATGCGACGCTATCATCAGACATTGTCGTAGCAAACCGTTGAAGGGGGGGGGCACGCACCTTGTGAATGGCGATGCGATTGATGAGCAAGCGCTGGACCCACGAGTCAAGGGCATCGCGGCAGAGCTGCCACTCGTCGGAGCCCTGCTCGGGCGGCGCAATCTTCTCGACCGGCCGCCGGGCGCCGCCCTCCTTCCTCGGGTCCAGCCGCTCGCGCGCCTTCGATCGGACCTCCGCCACCGAGACCGCCCCGCTCGAGAAGAAGTCAGCGTGACACAGCCCGGTCCGCGGGTTGCCTAGTGCGATGCGCGAGGGCACGCCAGTGTCGCAAAAGGTTAGCGCGAGTGTCGACATAGCGCATAGTAAGAGAGAGAGCGTGTGACGATACCAGCGAGCTCGCCCTGGGAGGCGAGTGCGGACGACTCGTGGAGTTCGTCGAGGACTGACACATGAGTGCTGTGGTCCCGGAACTGCCGCGCGGCTCGCGCCTGATCCGCGGTCGCCTGTGCGTGCGCCCAACATGAGCATTATTAGTGGTGTCGATCGGGGTTGGGGGGGGGGTGAGTGCGGAGTAGAACCTGGCTTTGGATGGGGATGAGCTGTTCGAGCTGGGCCGCATGGGGCGGAATGTAGGACAGGCTCGCGTTGCACGCCTCGGCCCACCTCAGCAGCGCCTCCTCGAACTCTGCGCGCGTGGTACATGGAGAGGGTGAGCGGATTGAGCGACCAGAGCAAAAACGTAAACGTTTAAACAGACCTTCGAATGTCTTGTAAAACTCGGGCTGGGGTTCGGGCGGCAGCAAGTTTGCATCCCATGGGTCTCGCTCCCTGATGATGGCCCTCGGGTTGAGGCTCCCCTGGTGTCGATCAACACAACACAACAGTGTGAAAAAGGGCGCACGCACACGTTATGCGGCACACGCGGCACACACTACCAACGACACGCACGCACACAAAAGAAGGAATGCCTTGGTGTACCACGGAGAGTCGCCTGTCGCTAAGCGGGTTGTCCTCGGAGAAATCGTCGTCGGTCTCCTCCTTGCGGCCCGTACGCTCCTCGATCTTGAGCTCGGCCGACGCACTCTCGTCGTAGGCCTCCACCAATTCCTGCCACGCAACATACCGTGTCAGTCCCTCATTCGACGAGTTCGCGCAGGGTGCGATGAAGTAAATGGGGAATCACCTGAATCGGAGCGGCGACCGTCGGACGCGCATAGTAGCGGCCGACAATGTCCGGCAGGTGGAGATCGCCGAGAGCTGATTCCACTTCGCTCTGCATTCATCACGACAAAAACAAATAAATAATAAAAATAAATAAAATGCATGAGCGATGCTACAGCAAGCCTGCGTTGTTGTGCCGCACCTTCCAATCGAGAAGGGCTTGCTCGTAGTCAAAGTACGTTTCATAGCCTCCCGGCTGCGGAAAAGAGCGAAAGACCTCCGCGCCACCTGGTGAGGCGGGATCGATCATGGGCCGGTGAGTCGTACGTTGAATCATGATAACGCTCAAGCAAGAAGGAAGAGGAGGAGGAGAAGGGCCACGGTCGCACCTTGCCCTCCGCCCTTGATGCGACGAGCAACCTCGTCGTCACACTTGCGGTAGTAGACGTCGTACACCTCGCCACCACTGCCGACGAAGAAGGGGGCGCCCTCGCGCTGCCTTCCCTCCCTGGTTGTCCGCCTTCGCGTGCGCCTTCGGCGATTGCGGACCCCGTTGCGTCTGTTGGAGCTGGTTGTGGTAGGGACGCACCGGCGGTCCTGCAAACTCGTTCGCGTCTGCACAAGCACCGTTTAGGTCCGAGTAACACGTCTCTAAAAAAACGAAAGTCTTCGCTTCGTTCTTCCAGACCAACACGAACATTGGGGGGGGGGAAGAGGGAAGCGTACGGAGAGCTTGGAAGACGCGCTGGCCTTCCTTGAGGTGCGCCGCGTCGATGTGCTGCACAGTGCGCTGGGCGCCCCTGCGAAACTTGTACTTGACCTCGCCCGATGCGCCGAGCGACTCCGAGCGCTCCCGCGCCGGCACCGCGGCAGCCCCCAGTCTTTGCCTCCATCTTCTTCGCCTTTCGATCTTCTGCTTCTTGTTGAGTCGGTTTTCTGTCGACACGTGTAATTACAGTACATGTTTATTTGCGCTGAGCGGCGCAAGGTGGAATGACGTGTTGGTGGTGTCGAGTGGTGGTGGCGATCCGAAAGGTGGTGTTGGCGGTGTTGGTGGTGGCGGCCTTGCCACTGCTCAGCTCGGGTGTCAGACGTGGTGGGGCGTGGTACCTACCACGTATCGATTTGGTTTATTTTCAGAGGCCATATGGCCCCTGGTCCTCCTTCCGGATGACCATCGGGTTCTTGGCGTACTCGATCTTCATGGGACCCTTGTCCGAGGACATGAGGACGCTGCCCTGAAGGTGGTTGAGCGCTTGTGTGGAGCTTTCATAGTCCTGTCATTTGTTTCGTGTCAGGAGATCGAATTGAGGCGTGTATCAGAGAGGGAGAGGAGAGAGAGGTGTGTGTGTGTGTGTGTCGAACTTCGGTTGGCTGGCTGGCGTACCTTGTACTGGACGAAGGCGTTGATATTGTGGCCTCTGTTGTAAAGCTGTGCCCGGACGAAACCCTGAAATCTGTGCGCGTGATCGAACACACTGGTGAGCGTGTACAGCACAATATCAACAGAACCAAGCGGCGGTGTTGAATCGGCCCACGTACGCGCCAAAGACTTCAGAGATCTCTTGTTCCGACGACGCTGTGCCGAGGTTGGATATGAACAAAGTCGAGCCCGGAGGGAACCTGACGAGGGACTTCCCGGCGGGCTTGGGCAGTCGATCCTGAAGGGGAAGCGAGTACACAGGAGGTGAGTCGGGGGAACCGTATAGGCCCGTACGGGCATCAGCGTCACGAGTAAAGTCTCGAGCGCCGCATGCCAAGCCAACAGCACGCACCTGTCCGCCGAGGAGGTAGGCATCGGGCACAGGACCCATCGATGACAGGCCGTACATTGACGGCGGATTGAAGGGATACCCTGCGAGCACAGATACGTGGGGTGCGTCAGCGTGCAAGGCATGTCTTGAACACGGTGCGATGGGGATAGGCCGTACCGGCCAGGCCGGCTCTGTACATTGCGTTGACGTCGATAGAGGTTGGTCCGCCGCCACCGCCACCTCCACCTGCCAGGGCTCTCTTGATGCGCTTTGCCTCCCTCTCCTTGGACCAAACTGTTGAGGTGCACCACCAAGCGCAGCAGTGCGCGTCAGTGTGTGAGTGAGTGCTGCACCAGTGAGCGGTTGGCAAGAAGAACAGGGAGGGTGATAGGTGGTACACTCAGGGGAAGCCGACTCTTCGGCCTCTCGCCTTCTCTTGGAGTTTTGTTTGGCGAACTCCACCTTCAACACGTCAGTGCCATCAGGATCGAAATGAAGCCCCTGAAGCAAAGTGAAGAATTTGGGATTGAGATTTTGGGCTCAAACAATGTGCGACAGTGAACGCAGCAGAGGCTGGGGCGTGTACTGTGATGTCACTCTTGGCGGCCACAGCTGCCTCGTGTGAAGTGAATGTGACAAAGGCGACACCATTGGGCTTCAAGATGGAGTCCTCGTAGCCTCGGTACGGGCGGAAGAGGTTGTGGATCTCCCTGTGTTTGACATCGAGGGGGAAGCCAGACAGCCACAGCGTCCGCATCGTTCCATCTACTTGTACATCGTCAGACCCAAGGGCCTGCAAGGGGACATCGCTGGGCATCATTTTGTGTGATGAATTGTGTCGCGTGCACGCTAATCTTCAAATCGTGGTTTTGTTCGTGCACTGGCGCGTTTCTGCCAGCTTTTACGTGCCAAATATGTTAAGTATTGCAGATGATAATTGCTTTGAATGGTTCACATTCCAACTGCTGCTCCCCAACCGAGAGAGAAGGCAAAGGCGTGGTGATCGCGCTCACCGAGAGAGAAGGGGTGGCGTCAATGGGCCTCACAAGTGTACACGCAAGTGATAATGAACAACTACGCATCCTCCCTGCACGATTTCTGTTGGCTTTCCTGCCTGGCGCACACTGCAAACAGTGCTGTTGTCCTGTGGTGGGCTCTGGGCCAAGTGCCGGGGAAAAGGGAAAGGGGAAAAAATGAGAAAATCATTGTTTTCTTTGTCTCTTCCTTCTCCGACAAGATGAACAGGAAGGGAGCGGACGATGGCGGCAGGAAGAAGAAGTCCGACAAGAAGAAGGACCCACCACCCAAGAAAACAAGGCCGATGGTCCAGGAGCACCGCGGAGCGGGCAGCCCCCTCCGTCGCTGGACAAGCGAAAGGGAGGAGCAGTACCGCCACCCCACCCACCTTCACGTCTCCTTTTTTCCCCCGCCTTACTCACTGCTTTGTGCTCACGTGCACAGGCCGCCCAGAAGGCCGGTACAGTGGAGTCCCTGGTACTTCACCGCCACTGCTCTCAGAATTGTGAAAGCTTGCACAACTCGGTTGGCGTGTGCTTACGCGGCGTTTGTGATGCGTGCGCGTGCAGGACGCACCGCCAAAGCCGCCTCCTCTGTTTGGCAGCTGGACGGGCAAGACTCCGGTCACCATGCTGGTACCACCTCCTCCGAGTGTGAGCTGACCTGGACGACGCATGCACCACCGCACGCGCACACAACGCTCGGCGGTTGTAACCCTCGGGGTGTCCCGTTGCAGAACGAGTGGTGTCAGAAGAACAAATGGGCCAGGCCGAACTTCTCGCCCGTCAAGTCGTGCCCGGAGGGCTTCCGGTGGCGTGTGGTGCTGATCAACCTCACCAACAAGAAGACCGAGGAGAAGTACACCCACTACACCCGAGACCCGTTGCCCGTGTCCGACATGGCCAGGTGCGTACCTTCTCCTGGTGTGTGTGTGTACGCGCTGCAGGGGCCGAGTCACTGACGCAGCTTGTCCCCGAAACAACGACCAGGCATGCAGCAGCGGTCGTGGCTCTACACGCGCTGTGCTCTCCACAGCAGCTACACCGAGTCTTGCCGCCTGAGATGCGCGATCTGTGGGCGCAGCTGGACATCGATGTACGCATGCACTCTCCCCCTTTCCTGACGCCCGGCCACGTGCTCACCGCACACGCACTACGCGGACAGGCCAAGGAAAAGAAGGAGAAGGATACCGAGCGGGCACAAAAGGCCGAAGAGGTGAAGGAGAAGAAGGAGAACCTGGAGAAGCGGCTGCAGAAGATGCCGCAGATCTACATGAGCCCGACCGCGCGCAGCCTCGTGGAGAACATCATCAGCTCCCTCCGCAGCCGCCAGCCCCCCGTCACTGCGCAGTCGCGCCCCGTCGACTCTGATCTGGCCGCCGACGACGGCGGGTTCGACCCCCGCGAGGCCGAAGAGGAGATCGACCTCGGGTGGGACGGCGAAGAGGAGGAGGACGTCGACCGCGCGGCGGCGAAGGCGGAGGAGGCCAAGGCCAAGCGGATGGCCGAGAAGACCCTCCGCCGCCGGCTAAAGCAGCTCGGCTGGCGCAAGGAGGACGTCGACCGCGTCCTGGCGGCGCTGCCCGAGCGGGACCTGCCGCCGACCGACGACCTCAACAAGCGGGTCAAGAAGGTGCTCGACTGGCTGCTGCTCCACGTGGCCGAAGAGCACCTGCCCGTCGAGTACCAACCGGCCAAGACCCTCGAGATCGGCATTACCGCCTTTCCCTCAGCCAAGCAGCCTAAGAGTACTCTCCTCCATATGCTGTGTGTGTCGTGTGTCGTGTGTCGTGTGTCGTGTGTCGTGTGTGTCGTGTGTCGTGTGTGTGTGCGCGGCGTGCGTGAGCTCACGGTGGTGAATGCAGGCGGAGAGGAACGGGAGCTGGAGCTGTTGCAGGCGGATACCAAGAACGCGGACAAAGCCACCGACAGCTTCTACACGCTCTTTGCGCTCATCGCGCGCCGGGCGACGAAGGAAGAGGCCAGCGACGGCTGCGCGCTCAAGCTGGAGTCCTCCTCGGCCGCCGACGCCGTGGCCGCCCTCCCCAAGAAGGGCGACGAGCGCGAGGCCTGGGAGATCGAGGAGCTGCGACGCGACGAGATGCTCGCCCTGGAGGCCATCCTCGGCGATGACTTTACCGCGCGCTCGGTCGCCGTCGCCGGGCTCGGCGGCGACGCGCTGCCCGTGGACGTGCTCCAGGTGCGCCTGCCGCCCGACTCGCTGTCGCTCGAGGCCTCGGCATTCCAGCCCTTCCAGCTCGCCCTCGCCGACCTGCGCCTCGAATTCCACATTCCGGCCCATCCGCACTCGCTCTACCCGCTCCAGCTGCCCCTCGTCTTCCCCTCTGTTTCGCTTACGCCCACCACCACCGCCGCCGCGGGCCGTGGTGGTGGCGCCGGTGCGCCGGCCCAGCTGGTTCCGCGGGTGGTGGCCAAGCTCAAGCACCGCATCATAGCCGAGCTGGCGGCGCAGGCCCAGGAGATGCTGGGCGAGGCCATGGTCTACTCGCTCTGCCAATGGCTGCAGAGCAACATCGGCCAGCTCGTGCGCGCCGTGGTCGAGTCCGAGCAGCGGCCCACCGTCGCGGTCGCCGCACCGACCAATCAACAGCCGCAGAAGCAGCCGCAGCCAGCCAAGGCCGCCAATGGGAGACCCGATAAGGCCCCGACGGTGACGGTCGGCGCCGCGCCGCAGGGCCAACGCGGGGGCGCTGTCGCCGGTCGTTCGGCGCCGCGGCGCCCGCGCGGGCAGCCGCAGGTGAGCGAGGAGCAGGTGCGGGAGCTGAGCGCGCAGCTGACTGAGAGCCTGCGGGCCAAGCAGCAGCGGCCGGACTACATCGAGATGCAGCGGGTGCGGCAGCGACTGCCGGCCGCCTCCAAGCGGGAGGAGATCATTCGCGTCATCCGCAACAACCAGGTCATCGTGCTCACCGGTGCCACGGGTACGCTCGCTCGAGTTCGTATGACGGAGAGACCGATAGTTCAGCGTGTCGTGTGTGTGCGGTGCGTGCGGTGCGACGTGTGTGTGTGTGGGCGTGCGGTGGTGCAGGTTGCGGTAAGTCGACGCAGGTGCCGCAGTACATTATGGAGGACATGATCGCTCAGAACGAGGGCGGCCGATGCAACATCATCGTCACCCAGCCCCGCCGAATCTCCGCACTCGGTCTCGCCCAGCGGTATCGCATCACCAATCCCCCCCCCCACAAACGCTGCGCCTGACAGCGCTCTGTTTCGTGTGTCGACACACACAGAGTGTCGGCAGAGCAGTGTGAAGACGTGGGCAACACAGTGGGTTACCAGATCCGCTTGGAGTCGGCCAAGTCCAAGAACACCCGGTACGTACCCCAGGCCTCGCCTCGCCCCCGCACGCGCTGCCGGCTCTCTTGCTGCGGGCCACGTGCGTACCGTGTGTGCGGCGCTGACGTTTCGGTTGTCCCACCACCACCACCACAATCCAGGCTGCTGTTCTGCACCACGGGTATCCTCCTGCGGCGACTCACCGGCTCATCCGGCGAGGACAAGGAACTACGAGGTCTCCTCCCCTCCTTCTGGTCGTGCCGTGTATCGTGTGCGATGTGTGTGCGTGTGTGTGTGCGGTGTGTGTGCGTGTGTGCGGTGTGTGCATTGGTTGATAGTGGTTTGTGCGCGCGTGCGTGTAATGGTGTGCAGGCATTTCGCACATAATTGTGGATGAGGTGCACGAGAGGAACCTGGACAGCGACTTCCTGCTGATCGTGCTCAAGGAACTCGTGCGCGCGCGGAAGGACATCAAGGTCATCCTCATGAGCGCCACGCTCGACGCCGACCTCTTCGCCCACTACTTTGCCTCGCCCGGCGGCCGCGGTGCCGCCGCCGCCGTCGGCGCGCCCGTGATCTCCATCCCCGGCTTCACTTACCCTGTGGGCGAGCACTACCTCGAAGACGCGCTCGAGCTCCTGCGCGGCCGCGGGCTCGCCGACGACATCGCGGCCCAGCAGCGGCGAGGCGGCGGCTTCGGCGGCGGGGTGAAGCGGACAAAGGCCGAGAAGGAGGAGGACGCGAAGCGGCGCGAGGACATCCTCCGGTCGTACGCGGCTTATTCGGTGGAGACGCGCGAGGCGCTGGCCACGATCAACGAAAACAAGCTCGAACCGGCCCTGCTCGAGCACCTCATCTTCTTCATCTGCGAGGAAGGCGAGCGCACCTTCCCCGAACTCTCCGAGGTGCGCTGCCTCCGTGTTTGGTGTCGTGTGTGTCGTGTGTGTCGTGTGCGGTTTTAGCTGACGGCACGACACGCAGGAGAAGGGCAGCGGAAGCAAGGGCGCCATTCTGGTGTTCTTCTCGGGCATGGCGGACATCCTGACGATGCTCGAGCGCCTGCAGAGGGGCGCGCGGGACCGACGAGCCGAGCACAAGTACCTCATCCTGCCGCTCCACTCGTCCATCTCCACCGCCCAGCAGCAGCGCGTGTTCGAGCGGCCGCCCCAGGGCGTGCGCAAGATCATCCTCTCCACCAAGTGCGTCTACACTCCTCTCCCTCGCGCTTTCCTCAAGCGAGCCATTGCTGACAAGCAGACAGCATCGCCGAGACGTCCGTCACCATCGATGACGTGGTCGTGGTGATCGACACCGGCAAGATGAACGAAATGCAGTACGACCCCGGTACGTGCGCACCACACGAGCCCGTTGTGTTGTGTGTGTGTGTGTTAAATTAACAGTTGCACTTTGTTTCTGACCTGGTCAACGTGGTATGCCACCAGTATCTAAGCTGTCGTGCCTGGGCGAGACGTGGATCGCCAAGGCCAACGCCGCACAGCGACGCGGTCGTGCCGGTCGTGTGAAGAAGGGCCTCTGCTTCAAGCTCTACACGGAGCGGCGTCACGCCGACCTCATGGACCAAAGGCCGCCGGAGATCCTGCGGGTGCCACTGGAGCAGCTGTGCCTGCAGATCAAGCTCCTCAACGTGCGGGCCACCGTGAAGCAGTTCCTGCACCAGGCCCTCCAGCCCCCGGAGGACCACGCCATCCAGTCCGCCCTCAACGTACTCGCACTCTCTCTCTCTCTCTCTTCTGTTTTTTTATAATATTCTGTATTCTATTTTATTGTTGAATTACATTATGAATTTCTTCCTCATCATTATGTAAACAGACGCTGCATCAAGTGAATGCGCTCGAGAAGGAAGAGGAGAAGCTCACTCCGCTGGGCTACCACCTTGGTACGGGCGCATCTGTGGCCACCTCGGCTCTGGACGATCTCTCATTCTTCTTCTTCGTCGTCGTCGTCGCCGTCTTCTTCTTCTTCTACAGCGCAATTGCCGGTGGACGTGCATATCGGGAAGATGATGCTGTTCGGGGCCATCCTCTGCTGCCTCGATCCGGTGTTGACGATCGCGGCGGCCATGAGCGCGGGCAAGTCGGCCTTCTACTCGCCGCCCGACCGACGCGAGGAGGCCAACCAGGCGCGCTTCGGGCTCGCGCTGGACAAGAGCGATCACCTGACCCTCATGAACGCCTACAACGGATGGCTCGCCGCCAAGGCCGACGGCCGCGAGATGCAGTACTGCAACGACGTTCGTGTCACCCACCTCTCCTGAAGCCTGAGTGGCCAATGCCTGACTGTCGTGTGTCGTGTGTGTCGTGTGGTACCTGTTTAGAAATTCTTGTCTCGCCCGACGCTGCAGGCGATCGCCGATCTGAAGCGCCAGTACGCGGAGCTCCTATCGGAAATCGGCTTCCTGGACCAGCGGGTGAGCACGCGACTCATGAACAAGCAGGCCAAGCTCGCCGGCCGAGGCAGCGACGGCGTGAAGGAGGCCACGGGCGCGCGACTCAATATCAACGCCAAGAACACGCGCGTCATCAAGGCGGCCCTTTGCTGCGGCCTCTACCCCAACGTCGTCCGCATCTCGTCGCCGGAGACCCGCTACGTCCAAGTCATACCGGGCTCCATCGCGCAGCCCCACAACGCCAGGGACCTCAAGTTCTATACCAGAGACGACGGTGAGTGCCACACCTCGTGTGCGCGTGCGGTGGTTGTGTGTACTTTGTATCGGGAGGTGGGGGCGTGCTGACTGATGGGTCGGTTGTAGGTCGTGTGTTCCTACACCCGAGCTCGGTGAACTTCTCGGTGAACGAGTTCGATTCGCCGTGGCTGCTGTTCAGCGAGAAGGTGAAGACGAGCAAGGTGTTCGTGCGTCAATCGAGCATGGTGTCCCACTACCCGCTCCTGCTCTTCGGGCGGGAGATCGACGTCGTGCACCACCTCAAGATCATCAAGGTCGACGACTGGATCCAGTTCCGCGCCGACCCGCGAATCGCCGTCCTGACCAAGGTCGGCTCTGCGCTCGCACGTTGATTCGTGAGCGTAACGTCTGCTAATGTGTTGGTTTTTGGTACCTTGGCTATGCAGGAGCTGAAGGTGGAACTGGACAAGCTTCTCACTGCAAAGATCAGCGATCCCACGTTCGACATCAGCCACAGCGGGCTCATCGAGGTCATCACTCAGCTCATCAGCACCGACGGCCTCATTGGGCCGCAGGAGGCCGCGAAGTGGAGCTAGCCCCAAAGGGATTCCTTCCAGTACTTATTTATTAGCCTCGGAGCTACTAGATGCCGCCCTACACGGCCAGTAAGCCAAACCCGAGCTCGAAGAATGGATACTTGAGGGCCTGCATAAACAACGACGGATATCAACGTCTGGATCGAGCACAGAGGCAAGAACCTTGATGCTTGAAGCAGGTACCTCTGAGGCACTGGGCCGCTGGGCCGGGTTCCAATGGAGCAACGCTTGCAAGAGGTGGAGAGCTTCGGTACTCGCGTGAGGGATCACATCGGATAGAGGGACACTGGGCACCTGGTGAGAGTGAGTAAGTGGTTGTGCATAAAGAAGGAGAGAGGCGTGTACCGATGGAAAAGACGCTCGAAACCGTCCTCCTTCAGGCCATTCCTCTTCGCTTGGAGAGCCAAGAAGTGTGCAGATGCACTTCATCTGATTCACCTCGCTGGTGCCGGGGAACAAGGGGCGCAGGAGATACTACTCGAGCATTAGATAGAGCAATAGGAGAGAGCTACCAGAGCCTGCACAACTGCGCACTCACCATTTCTGCCATGATCGCTCCGACAGCCTGCGAGGTGCATGTTAGAAGAAGCTCTGCATGGGAGAAAGAGGAGCGCGCACCCACACGTCTACAGCTGGACCGTAAGTCCCGTTCTTGAGGAGGACCTCTGGCGCACGGTACCATCTGGTTGAGATGTACTCGGTGTACGGAGGGCCAGAAAGGAATGGACGGGCGAGGCCACTGCAATGCTGGTGTTAGTGCTGAGACCCAGACTGAAGTGGAGAGGGCATACGCACAAGTCGGTCAGCTTGATGGTCTCAGTGGTGTAGAGCAGATTCTCCGGCTTGAGGTCTTCTCATGAAAAGGTTAGAATAGCCCTAGCATGTAAGGTTTCCCTGTACCTCTGTGGAAGATGCCACGCTCGTGCATGAACTCTAGACCCTTCAGTATCTGATACCTGCACGAGGACAAGATGAGGCAGGCATTGAGCAGCAAAAAGTGCGGTCTCGGTACATGACGCTTCGGATCTTAGCCTCGGGGAAGGGCTCACCCAGCTCCTTTCGCTTCTCGATGAGCTGGTGCAGAGTGTCCTCCATGTGCTGCGACGCGTAGGTGACGTACTGCTTAATAGCTAGCTGAGAGACGCAATCAACCGTACCTCGAAGACTACTTCCATTAGGGTCACGGATGTCAGTCATGGAGAGAAACGCGTAAGCCAGACGTACTCAGATAAAGGCGGTTGTTCTCTTTGATTACTTCTTCGCAGAGGATGATGTTGGGATGCGCGTGGCTGCACAGCTTTTTCAGGCTCTGTGATGGGTACGTTTAGGCACAAGCATAGACCCGCTGATAAGCGGTGTACGCACCCTGATTTCGTTGAGCTGCATGCACTGGTCCCAGTTTTGGAAGTGTCGCCTCATCTTCTTGATCGCCACCTGCAGACAGCAAAGATCAGACATGCTTCGGGTGGCTATGCCGTAAAAGTTGGTGGTACCAATCTGCTGGTGATTGTGTTTCGATAAAGCTTCACCGAACCATGGGTGCCATTGCCGAGCTTGCTCACGAACTTGTAGCGAGCCATCCGAGACTGTCTCGGCACCGAAGCGCTCTCGCCCTGCATCTCTGTCGTTCGTGTCCATCATAGGCTTAGTCTCAGCGCCACTATCGAACGGAGAGCTCTCTACATGAAGGGGTGTACGATGTTGGCGGGAGCCGTGGCTTGTTTGAACTTGACGCGGCTGCGAGTGAGAATGCGCCACCACGCAGGCAAACTTCCTACAAAAAGGAAATTTCGTATTTTGTAGACAAAGTGTCGGCCTGGAAAAGGAAAGGCTGTTCTTACCGCATTCTTGTAGCCTGGGGTGAGTGAAGATTGATAGAAGAGGGAGGAGTGTACGAGGTCTATTGGATTGGCTTCGAAAAGGAGTGAGCAAGAGGGAGGAGTGTTACCTTGAGTGATAACAGAGGAAGATGGCGACACTCAACTTCGCGGATAACATGTGGGATCAGTTCGAAAAGGTCGTGAAGCGGCTGAACGAGGGAAAGAACTTTTCGTCAGAGGTGGCCAGCTTCGTGCAAAAGAGAGCCCTCTTGGAGAAGGAGTACGCCATGAAGCTCCAGAAGCTGATGAAGATGACAACGATCGAAGAGTACGCGTCGCTGGGGTCGGCCTGGACCTCGCTGCGCACCGAAACTGAGAAGCTTGCACTCTGGCACGACCAGTTCGGGGATCGACTCGTGTCCGAGGTGAAGGACCACATACTCGAACACAGGGGCGAGAGCAAGAAGCAGACCAGAGTGCTCGTCGAACAGGGCACCAAGATCATCAAGGACCTCGAAATCCAGACCGACAAGGGCGACAAGGCACGGTCGGCCTACTATCGCTCCCGCAGGAAGCAGGACGAGACCCAGGAAGGTACGCAACCCCCGACCTATTGTGACAATGTGGAGAAGCGTTAGAGAGAGCAGACGTGAAAGAGGGGAGGAGCGTACATGACTGACATGGTCCATTGCGAGCAGAGTACGACCGAGCGACGATGAGCGGGCAGCCGGCCGGTATACTGCAGAAGCTGGGGAAGAAGGCGACGAAGGACGAGAAGGTGGCGATCAAAGCGGACACCGCCTACAAGGCGGCCATCGCAACCCTCGTGGAGGCGCAAGTGCGCATGTACGACACGGAGATGCCCAAGACGATGAGCGAGCTCCAGCGGATCGAGATTACCCGGCTGCAGGTCACGCAGTCCTCGCTGAAGCACATAATCTCGCTGCAGAGCGGGCTCGCCGAGCAGGTCACGGAGCGATGCGGGGTCGTGCATCCGATGCTCGACGCGGTCGACGCCTCGGCCGATATCGTGGCCTTCGTCGAGCGGGCAACCTCGGGCAAGCCCAAGCCGCCCAAGGCCGACTACGAACCCTACGACCCGAAGGACAACCGAAGGCTCTCCCTGGCCGCGCCGCTCACCCTCGCTCCAAACTCCACGATGCGCGGCCACAGCGGCTCGGTGAGCCTCCTCTCGCCTCGTGCATCGGTCGGCAGCGCTCAGCCGCGGGTGGCGGCGATCGTGGCCGCGTCTGCCAGCACGGCAACGGCGCCGCCATCGAAATCTTCTGTCGCCGCCGCGCCGGTATCTCCGGCCCCGACCCCGAGAGGGCCTGCGCTGAAGGTGCGGGCTCTCTTCGACTACACTGGCGAGACGCAGCCGGAGCTGAGCTTCAAGAAGGGCGACATCATCACGGTGACGGAGAAGGACGAGAGCGGGTGGTGGCAAGGCGAGCTGAACGGCGTGATCGGCGCATTCCCGAGCGGGTGGGTGGAGGACCTCTCGGCGCCTGCCCAGTCGACGAGCCCGGCCAAGGGTCCGCCACAGATCGTCGAGCCCCCGCCAGAGCCGGAGAAGCAGGCACGCGCGCTCTACGCCTTCAGGAAGGAGCAGGAGGAGGAGATCGACGTGAACGTGGGCGACCTACTTGTGGTGGACGTGGACGACGGCAGCGGGTGGATATACGGCTTTAATCAGACGTCGGGAGAGGGCGGACGCTTCCCCGCCAACTACGTGGAGTACTTGTAGTTCGTACAGGACGATAGGCGGCTGAACAGCCCTCCTGTAAGAAGGTTGTGACTTAGCGCAGCGGCCTCAATATAGAGAGATGTAATTAAGCGTACCCCGTGTGCGACTGCTCCGGAGGGTTGAGGGCGAGGCTGCTTAGTCTTCTTCATCCTCCTCCTCTTCCTCTTCTTCCTCCTCTTCCTCTTCTTCCTCCTCTTCGGCGCGTTTCACCGGCTGAGAGGTGTGTCCGATGGGGAGCGCACGCAGGATGAGATCGGCCCAGGCGGACCCATCTGGGTCCGCACGCAAGATGCGGCCCTTGAAGATGGCACGCGACTTTCGCTCGCGGTCCTCGAAGCGTAGTTCATACCGATGCCGATCCGTGTAGATGGCGTCGTACCCATCGGACCGATAGTAGTCGGTGTCTGTGAGCGCTCCCGCCATAGTGCTCGGGCAGCACAATTCCCCAGTGCCTGTTGAGAAGAGATCTGGTCAGAATCCACTGGCGGTAAGAAGGCGAGCAACGTCGGGAGCGAAGCTGAGGCGTGCGTACATAGCTTTGGCTCGTATATGTCCATGTGATAAAAGAATTCAAGCTCGACGTGGCTGTTGAAGCGAAAGCCGACGGGGAAGGTGAACGTGGCCTCGCCCATGTCCAGGTCGGCACACGCGCCAGATGCCATCATTTCGTGAGGTGAGCGGATGTTCTTTGCGTGACCGTCCGCCTGTCGCCCATTCAGAACGCGCACCCACGTGAGCAGATGAAGCGCTGTGGCCAGACGGAAGGATCAAGCGTGTGAGCCACTAAGATCGTGTATACCGTGATCACGCCAACACCGGAGCCTTTCATCTCGAACGGTGGGATCCTGCACTTGACCGGCTGCCTTTCGACCTCAGCCTTGAGCGCATCGCCCTGCTTTCGTCTGATGTCGAAGCTGGCGATCGGGCACACAAGCTGAAACTCGACCACCTCGAAGCCGCTATGACGACCGCTTACCGCACTATCGAGTTTCATCACTCCCCCTGTTCCCTCGCTTCTTCTCTTCTTGTTGTTAATGCTCCCTTCTTCCTCGAGCCGGTGATCGTAGTATCGCTCTATCGTCCTCTCTGCCCGGCTCGCAGCGCCGTGGGCACCATCGTCCCTCTTGCGCTTGGCGCGTGTGGTATCGGCTTGATCTCGTTCCTCGTCCACTCGAGTGATTTCCTCGAGGAACGAGGCAGTGTCTGCAAACGATAGATTGGGGGGGGGGTTAGGCAACAAATCGACAACAAAGATAGGAAGGTTGCATTGAGCGCACCATGGACGATGGCAGGTTCTGGAGGTGGCTCCCGCTGCTGCTCGACCCAAGCAAAGCGCACGGGTGCCCCCTGCTTTTCAACTTCGGCAGGCTCGTTCAAGTCGAGCTCAACACCGCACGCCCAACTCATCGGTGCCGGTGTTGCTGGATGGTGCGCGTAGTACGTGGCAAGTACTTGCAGAGCTCCTTGCTAGCCGGGCACATCAATCTTGTCGGGTGTTGCGTTTCATCTCTATCTCTTTTCGCGTGTATTTTACAACCAAATTTCTCAAGGCATTTTCGTGTCTCTGTGGACTTCAGGCCCGGCCGGACACTCTCACGCGAAGCATACCTTTACGTGGCGCCTCACCGGCAACCACAGGAAAGGAGCCTGCGTGGAGTGATCGGTGGAGAGGAAGAGTAGCAGGCCGAGAGGGCGAGGCTTCCACCACCTTTTCGTCAAGGTGCCCGATCTCTGCGGAGAGAAAGGAACTCACCTCATCGGCAGCCCAATGCGCGAGGCCCACTTGGTTTTCATTTTGAGTCCTGCGCGTACGTGGCCGCAAGCTGTGGAGCAGCGGCTGATTAAACCTAATATTGGTTGTTCAACCGCGACCTGACGAGCTGAGGTGATTGGTTGAAAGCGCGAGGCTGGGCGCCGTTCTCTTCTTGTGTGTTCGAGCCGATTGGTGCGTAAGATTGTTGGGCTTCTGTACGAGGGACCCTACACTTGCCTCATGCAGTCTTAAACGAACCCGGAGCTCTCCGCAGCAATTGCCCGCTAGCCCTATTCATCCAACTCCCAGTGCCGGCGCACAAGAAGAACCTACGAGCGGAAAACACACGCACAAACTTGGTCCGCAGACCGCCACACACACACACACACCACAGCAGAAGATGGCCGACGGCGGTCAAAGCAGTTTGGCGGCGTCGCCTGACGGTGAGTGCAAGAGCACTCCCCTGTCACCGCCGCGCCCAACAGCCCTGGGCACCACCGACGTACGCGTGATCATCGAGCAGCTACGACAACAATCCACAGCGCGGAAGCGCCCACATAACGCCACCGGTACATCCACATCCCCCATCATCGCCTGTGCATCGATGGCGTCTTCTACTGGCCGCCCAACTTCTGCCAAGCATGCCGCACCGGAGAGGGGGGGGGGGCACTGGTATTCCTCTTTGACCTTTCTTTGGGTCACGAGGGCTGCGGCGGTAAGCCCGGACCCATGCGCCGCTTCACGATTTCGGCCAATGGCTAAGCGGCGGAGAAAGCTTATTTGAAAAGAGTGGTGTTGGCGTACCGATCTGTTCATTCGGTGGCGCCAGACAAGACCCACTTTTCATTCACACTTACGCATCAGGCGATTTGGTGTGGGGCGTGGGGCGCATACACCTCCACCTGACGCCTCTCTGTCACCTGGTATTCAAAATCAGAAGAAGAAGAAGAAGGAGCAGCGGCGATGGATGAGCAGGGACGTCAGGTGGTGCGCGAGCGTATGTACGTCCACCTTCTAGATGGAACTGCCACACCGGGCAACGATGTCCCCGGGCCAGGTTTTGACTGCCACATCCATCTTTTCCAACTTTTTTGCAGCGCGGGGCTGCTCGTTCAGTTTCCAGGAGAGGCAAGGGCGTGGGCGCAAACCATCGAGGAGGAGGCCTTCAAGGCCGCGCAAGACGAGACGCGCTACTTCGAGACCATCTCCCGCCGTTTGGCCACCCTGGCCTCTACCCCACCCAGCGAGCTGGCAGGCCTGCCCGCAACCGCCCCCAGTTCGGCCGCTGGTATGCAATCGCCCACAAACCAGGGAACGGTCGGTCGCCCACCTGGCTGCGGCTCACCCATTCCCTCGTTTTGTTCGCGTGGGCAACCACTCCCACGCAACTGTTTGGCGCACTGTGTAGTGACTGCAGAAGACGAGGCACAACAGCCACCGCAAAAGAAGAAGAACTTGGGCCGACGACCCAACCCCAAGCGCCCGGACAAGGTGCCCATAGCCTTCATCCTGCCAGCGCCCGTCGCCACGCGCCCCGTCAGCCAACAGGCACCCCGGGATCGAGCTGTGCCCAAGGACCTGTGGTTGCAGGTAATTTTTTATTTGTCCCAAACCAATCAATAACACTCCTCAGATTGGCCCGCACTAAACGGCACTTTTGGTCGTGCCCGTCACCAGACCCTGCATAGCTACCAAGCGCCGCTGGACGCCCTTGTCACCAAGACCAGGACTCGCGCCGAGAGCACACCGCCGATGATGAGCGGCAAAGATGGGGCTCACCGACAGCAGCTGCTCGAGCTCCTCCAGCAGATGCAGTTCGCCCAACACGTGCTTCACTCCATCCTCTCCTGGTACCACTCCACCACGTTGCAACTCCCCTGTTCATTGCAATGTTGAAGGTTCTGACTTGGCGTTCGCGATCGATCACCGGGTCTGTGCGGCCGCAGTGGATTGGCGCCGCCGACTGCGCAAAACGACAAAGTCTGCCAGGACTTGCTGGACCGAATCGCTGAGTGGCTGCTGTGGGACGTCAACGGCGGGCCGCTCTTCCCCACCATGGGACCCGCCTCAACGATGAACACGAACACGACCACGACCACGACCACCACCGCAAGCACACCTTCAGAACCCGCCAAGCGCAAGAGGAGGGCCAGCGCTGACGACAACTCCCGAGCTGCGCGGCGCACGCGCAAATCGCGAATCGCCAAGAGCGGAAGCTCGCCAAGCAGCCCCGCTGCCACCCAGCACGATTACGCATCGGCCGGAGCTCCCGCGGTGGCCCACGACGCGCCCCGGGGCCTGTTTCCCTTCCACGGCCTGCTGGTCGAGGCCGAGGAGGGCAAGCTCGCGGCCGAGGGGCGGATATCGCCTCGATGCGTGTCGGCCCTCCCGCCCGCGGGCGGCCTTGCCGTTCTTCCATTGCCTTCGTCCGCAGGCCCGGCCATCCGGTCTCCCACTTCGGCATTCACTCCGTGGGGCGAAAAACGGAGGAGTGGCAGCCAGGCCGAGGATGAGCTGAGCGCGGCGACGGCGATCGAGGCGCTCTCCTCCAACAGACCGTCGCTGTTGCCGTCGCCGGTGAAGAAAGAGCCCGTGGATTCTTCGGAGGTCTCGGGGAGTGAAGGAGAGGACGGCGAAGATGTGCGGGAGGTGGAGTCGGAGAAGCCATCGCGGCGGGGCAAGAAGCGCTCTGCCAAGCACGAGGACGCGAAGAAGGAGAGGCTCAGCAAGCGACGCCTGAAGACGCCCCAGCAGCTGGAGATCCTGGAGACCGAGTACGCCATCACCCGCTTCCCCAACACGGCCAAGAGGCAGGCCATCTCCGTCGCCACAGGTGCGCTCACCCTGCACCCCGCTCCCCAATTTTCGATTCGCTCTCTAATCCCTAGAATCCCGCCGACGACGCCCTTCTGCAGGCCTCACACCGCGCGGCGTCCAGATCTGGTTCCAGAACAAGAGGGCCAAGGACAAGTTCTTCGAGTCTTCGGCGCAGAAGTACATGGCCAAGCGTGAAGTGCCCTCTTCTTCGGGGCAGCACGCCGGCGGGGGCAGTGGCGCGGCGCACTATCCAGCACTCCTGCCGACGCCCATCGTCGCCGACGCCCACTTCCCGCTGCTGGGGACAACCCCGCTCCCACGCATCGTTTCCCTGCCTCCCATCTCAGCTCCGCCACACTACCCCCAGCGTCAGCACCAGCACCAGCACCCGCCGCCGATCCTGCCGCCGCTGTCGTCGCTCTCGCCGCCTCGCCCGCGCTCGTCGTCGTCTTCGCCCGCCCACATCCCGCTGCTGCCGCCCATCTCGTCTCTCCCCGCCTTTTCCCTGATGCACTCGAGCTTCGCCGAGCCGGGGACCACCTCGTCGAGCCGCTCGTCGTCGCCGCTTTCGTGTCCGCTCAACCTCGTCAACGTGCCGCCCAACTTCTCGTCGCCGTCGGCGTCTCGGTCGGCCTCGCCCTCGTCGTACCAGCAGCTGCCCCACGCCACGGGCGGTGGCGGCGGCTCGCCGATGGACCTGAACACGCTCATCTCGTCGCTCAACAACACGATCAACTTCCTCACGGCCCTCCACTCGATCGCGCCCTCGACGCAGACGTCGTCGCCCGTGTGCGCATGGCAGGGCGAGATCGTGTGGCAGGGCATCGTGCCGGTCGCGGCCGGCAGTGGCCCCGAGCCCGCGCCCAGCAACAGCAGCAGCAGCAGCGGTGGCGCGCTGCCTCGGCTCTACTCCTGCCAGGTCTCGATCCCCCTCGTGTGCCTCTCCTCCGATCGCAATTGCATTTCGTACGTTCCCTCCTGTGTCGTGTGTCATGCGTCCCGCGTGTCGTGTGCGTGCGTGGTCCATCGCGCTCACCAACCTCGTCCTTGCACTCAATGCAGGGTGATGGAGCGATGCGCGGCTCAGATGAGCGTTGCCAGCATGCACCCCAGGGGCGACCGAGCCTACGAAAACGTTATTGAGTCCAGCGAGCAGGCGGGCACCGTCCTCGAGTTCCTGCCGTCGTCCGAGGGCGCTCGTCAGTCGGTCGCCTTCCTGCTGGACCAGCTCAGTAGTGCGCCGCCGACGCTCAGGTCCGCGCAGCTGGCCACCGTCAACGTCGACAGCCGACACCAACTCGTCATGTTCGCTGCCCAGGGACGCCTCCTCGGCTGTCTGGCCAACCTCACCTGTTCCCCTTCGCCTGCGCACAACGCAAGGCCTTAGCGCAAGGTTGAAAAACAGTTTAAACTTATAAATATGACTCATATATATTAGTTATTATTCATTTTATCTGGAGGTTTGAACAAACGTGCGTGGGATCGTGTAGCGCAAGAACAGCGTTCAAGGCACCGCAGATTGCCGCACGAGGCAGAGAGTGTTGTTTGGGTCGCGGCACCTTTCGTCTGCTTTGTGTCGTTCCTTTCCTTCCTTCTTGCTTTTCCCTTGGCGCTTTTGCTGTGGTCCTTCATTTCGTAGTCCCTCACACGACCACCGGGACAACCCCCCCTTCTCTTGGGTAGCTGGTGAACCTTTCAACTGTCGACACTTTGCGATCGTCTCACCGATGCGACACGCGGCCGGTTTGAACAACATGTCGAGAGAGCTGTCCGTAAAGTCGACACACAGGAACCGCCAATTTTCGCGTCCACGAATCAGAGGTCGGCGCTGGGGCCGGAGCTGCACGAGCGGAGGCTGAAGCAACCGCCCCCAAGCACCAAGAAGAGGAACAGGTCGCTCGAGCTTCTTCTTCTTCATCACACTCCCCCGCGAGACACACACCAGGGACCCTTCTTGTACTACCACACAGTTCACCCACCGCTCTCGCTGGGGTTCAACAACACACTTTGAACCACTACACTTTTAGTACATCACATCAGCGAAGATGGCCGCCCAGCGCAGGAGGAAGGGAGGAGAGGTCGAGAGCGACTACATCAAGTACCTCAAGTACAAGAACACCGGCTTCCAGGTGAGCGCCAGCGACAAGACGCTCGCGTGGTGGCCCACCAAGGACGCCGACCGCGCCTTCTGTCACGTCGAGGTGACCAAGGACGACGGCAAGAACTTCACCGTCCGCCTCGAGAACGGCGAGGTACGGAAATCTCTCTTCACTTCTACAACTACTACTACTACCACCTTGATGTTGTTCTCTTCCGTTCCTACTCGTGCGTCACTTCGCATCCGTGGTCCTCCGGAAGATGAAGCCCCCCAAAATTTGTCGTTGACCGACGCGCTACTCGCTTCATCTTTCTACACTTTCTCTTTTCAGTCGATGTTTACTACATGTCTCAATACTCAGTCTCTACTCAGTGTTGATCCTTTCAATGCGCAAGTGCTGAACATCGATTTCTTCGAATGTACAGGAGAAGTCGCAGCCCAAGAACGAGAAGAACTTCCTCGGTGTCAACCCGCCCAAGTTCGATGGCGTGGAGGACATGGGTGAGCTCGGTTACCTCAACGAGCCCGCCGTGCTCCACAACCTCAAGAAGCGTTACGATGCCGACCTCTTCCACGTATGTTCACCTTCTCTACATCTCCATCCTTCGATGTTGGCTCACATTTTTGGATTTGATTCTTCTTCAGACCTACTCTGGCCTGTTCTTGGTGGTGGTGAACCCCTACAAGAGGCTCCCCGTGTACACCCCGGAGATCATCGACATCTACCGTGGTCGCCAGAGGGACAAGGTGGCTCCTCACATCTTCGCCATCTCCGACGCTGCCTACAGGGCCATGCTCAACACCAGGCAGAACCAGTCCATGCTCATCACGTACGACCACCCCTCCCCGCCAACGTGAGAGCGCTCTCACGTTGTCCCGTTCAGTCGTTGTCCCAACCACCGATCGATAATTATCCATTTAATTCCCCAAATATGCGAGGAATTATTGAGCTCAAATTGGTTGCATGGTAACTGACGAATTTTTTGTTATATTTTTTTAACCCACAGTGGTGAGTCGGGAGCTGGTAAGACGGAGAACACGAAGAAGGTCATCCAGTACCTGACGGCCATCGCCGGTCGCGCTGAGGGCGGTCTGCTGGAGCAGCAGCTGCTCGAGTTCAACCCGATCCTCGAGGCCTTCGGTAACGCCAAGACGACCAAGAACAACAACTCGTCGCGTTTCGGTAAGTTCATCGAGCTGCAGTTCAACGCCGGCGGTCAGATCACGGGCGCCAACACGTTCATCTACCTGCTCGAGAAGTCGCGCGTGACCGCCCAGGGTGCCGGCGAGCGTAACTTCCACATCTTCTACCAGATCCTGTCCAAGGCCATGCCCGAGGAGCTCAAGCAGAAGCTGAAGCTGACCAAGCCCGAGGACTACTTCTTCCTCAACCAGAACGCGTGCTACACCGTCGACGACATGGACGATGCCAAGGAGTTCGACCACATGCTCAAGGCCTTCGACATCCTCAACATCAACGAGGAGGAGCGCCTGGCCATCTTCCAGACCATCTCGGCCATCCTGCACCTGGGCAACCTGCCCTTCATCGACGTCAACTCGGAGACGGCGGGCCTCAAGGACGAGGTGGAGCTTAACATCGCCGCCGAGCTGCTGGGCGTGTCGGCCGCCGGGCTCAAGGCCGGTCTCCTGTCGCCGCGCATCAAGGCCGGTAACGAGTGGGTGACCCGCGCGCTCAACAAGCCCAAGGCCATGGCCTCGCGTGACGCCCTGTGCAAGGCCCTCTTCGGCCGCCTGTTCCTGTGGATCGTGCAGAAGATCAACAGGATCCTGTCGCACAAGGACAAGACGGCGCTGTGGATCGGCGTGCTCGACATCTCCGGTTTCGAGATCTTCCAGCACAACTCGTTCGAGCAGCTGTGCATCAACTACACCAACGAGAAGCTGCAGCAGTTCTTCAACCACCACATGTTCACCCTCGAGCAGCAGGAGTACGAGCGCGAGAAGATCGACTGGACCTTCGTCGACTACGGCATGGACTCGCAGGACTGCATCGACCTCATCGAGAAGAAGCCCATGGGCATCCTGCCCCTCCTCGACGAGCAGACCGTGTTCCCCGACGCCGACGACACCTCGTTCACCAAGAAGCTCTTCCAGACCCACGAGAACCACCGCAACTTCCGTCGCCCGCGCTTCGACGCCAACAACTTCAAGATCGTCCACTACGCCGGCGAGGTCGAGTACCAGACGTCGGCCTGGCTCGAGAAGAACCGCGACCCGCTCGAGGACGATCTCTCCAACCTGTGCAAGAAGAGCTCCGTGCGCTTCGTCACCGGCCTCTTCGACGAGGACCTCATGCCCTCGTTCAAGGCCGCCCCCGCCGAGGAGGAGAAGGCCGCGGCCGGCGGCTCGCGCAACCGCTCGACCGGCCGCGGCAAGGGTGGTGCCCAGTTCATCACCGTCGCCTTCCAGTACAAGGAGCAGCTGGCCCACCTCATGTCCATGCTTTCCTCCACGGCCCCGCACTTCATCCGCTGCATCATCCCCAACTTGGGCAAGAAGCCCGGAGTGGTGAGCGACCAGCTCGTGCTCGACCAGCTCAAGTGCAACGGTGTGCTCGAGGGCATCCGTATCGCGCGCAAGGGCTGGCCCAACCGCCTGAAGTACGACGAGTTCCTCAAGCGCTACTTCCTGCTTAAGCCCGGCGCGACCCCCACGTCGCCGTCGACCAAGGACGCCGTTAAGGACCTCATCGAGCACCTGATCGCCAAGGAGCCCACCAAGGTCAACAAGGACGAGGTGCGCTTCGGTGTCACCAAGATCTTCTTCCGCTCGGGCCAGCTGGCCGCCATCGAGGAGCTGCGCGAGCAGGCCATCTCCAAGATGGTGGTGTCGATCCAGGCCGGCGCGCGCGCCTTCCTCGCCCGCCGCATGTACGACAAGATGCGCGAGCAGACCGTGTCGGCCAAGATCCTGCAGCGCAACATCCGCGCCTGGCTCGAGCTCAAGAACTGGGCCTGGTACCAGCTCTACGTCAAGGCCCGCCCGCTCATCTCGCAGCGCAACTTCCAGAAGGAGATCGACGACCTCAAGAAGCAGGTCAAGGACCTCGAGAAGGAGCTCGCCGCCCTCAAGGACGCCAACGCCAAGCTCGACAAGGAGAAGCAGCTCGCCGAGGAGGACGCCGACAAGCTCGAGAAGGACCTCGCCGCGCTCAAGCTCAAGATCCTCGATCTCGAGGGCGAGAAGGCCGATCTCGAGGAGGACAACGCGCTGCTGCAGAAGAAGGTGGCCGGCCTCGAGGAGGAGCTGCAGGAGGAGACCTCGGCCTCCAACGACATCCTGGAGCAGAAGCGCAAGCTCGAGGCCGAGAAGGCCGAGCTCAAGGCCTCGCTCGAGGAGGAGGAGCGCAACCGCAAGGCCCTCCAGGAGGCCAAGACCAAGGTCGAGTCCGAGCGCAACGAGTTGCAGGACAAGTACGAGGACGAGGCCGCCGCGCACGACTCGCTCAAGAAGAAGGAGGAGGACCTGTCGCGCGAGCTCCGCGAGACCAAGGACGCCCTGGCCGACGCCGAGAACATCTCCGAGACCCTGCGCTCCAAGCTCAAGAACACCGAGCGCGGCGCCGACGACGTGCGCAACGAGCTCGACGACGTCACCGCCACCAAGCTCCAGCTTGAGAAGACCAAGAAGAGCCTCGAGGAGGAGCTCGCCCAGACCCGCGCCCAGCTCGAGGAGGAGAAGAGCGGCAAGGAGGCCGCCAGCTCCAAGGCCAAGCAGCTCGGCCAGCAGCTCGAGGACGCCCGCTCCGAGGTCGACTCGCTCAAGAGCAAGCTCTCGGCCGCCGAGAAGTCGCTCAAGACCGCCAAGGACCAGAACCGCGACCTCGACGAGCAGCTTGAGGACGAGCGCACCGTGCGCGCCAACGTCGACAAGCAGAAGAAGGCGCTCGAGGCCAAGCTCACCGAGCTCGAGGACCAGGTCACCGCCCTCGACGGCCAGAAGAACGCCGCCGCCGCCCAGGCCAAGACCCTCAAGACCCAGGTCGACGAGACCAAGCGCCGCCTGGAGGAGGCCGAGGCCTCGGCCGCGCGCCTCGAGAAGGAGCGCAAGAACGCCCTCGACGAGGTGGCCCAGCTCACCGCCGACCTCGACGCCGAGCGCGACTCGGGCGCCCAGCAGAGGCGCAAGCTCAACACCCGCATCAGCGAGCTCCAGTCCGAGCTCGAGAACGCGCCCAAGACCGGCGGCGCCTCGTCCGAGGAGGTGAAGCGCCTCGAGGGCGAGCTCGAGCGCCTCGAGGAGGAGCTCCTCACCGCCCAGGAGGCCCGCGCCGCCGCCGAGAAGAACCTCGACAAGGCCAACCTCGAGCTCGAGGAGCTGCGCCAGGAGGCCGACGACGCCGCGCGCGACAACGACAAGCTCGTCAAGGACAACCGCAAGCTCAAGGCCGACCTCGACGAGGCCCGCATCCAGCTCGAGGAGGAGCAGGACGCCAAGTCCCACGCTGACTCGAGCTCGCGCCGCCTGCTGGCCGAGATCGAGGAGCTCAAGAAGCGTGTCGCCAAGGAGACCAGCGACAAGCAGAAGGCCCAGGACCAGAAGGCCAACTACCAGCGCGAGAACGAGTCGCTCAAGGCCGACCGTGACTCCATCGAGAGGCGCAACCGCGACGCCGAGCGTCAGGTCCGCGACCTCCGCGCCCAGCTCGACGACGCCCTCTCGCGCCTCGACTCGGAGAAGCGCGCCAAGGAGAAGTCCGTCGAGGCCAACCGCGAGCTCAAGAAGGTCGTCCTCGACCGCGAGCGTCAGTCCCTCGAGTCCCTCTCCAAGTTCAACTCGGCCCTCGAGTCCGACAAGCAGATCCTCGAGGACGAGATCGGCGACCTCCACGAGAAGAACAAGCAGCTCCAGGCCAAGATCGCCCAGCTCCAGGACGAGATCGACGGCACCCCGTCCTCGCGTGGTGGCTCCACCCGCGGCGCCTCGGCCCGCGGTGCCTCCGTGAGGGCCGGCTCCGCCCGCGCCGAGGAGTAAGCAGTCGTGCCTCCCTCTATGCACCACTCACTGCCTCCCCTCTCTACAACGCTTACCCTGTGCTTTATACACCCATAAAACGCTTTTCCCGCTGACATCGCACCAGGCCCACCTGCGCTCACCGTCACACACATGTGGGTTTAGTGTTATGTTGAGAAAGTACAAGAAGAAGGAAGGCAGATCATCGTTTCAGCTTACAACTGGGAGTAGGACGCTCGGCGGAGCACGACAAAAGCAACGGCGGCAGCCACACCAACGACAAGTATCACTCCGCCGGCCACCGCGATGGCAACGATGCCAAAGACCATCCACCGGTCGTCGTCCGCGTCGTTGTCGTGTGCTCCTCCACCTCCGCAGTTTGTCCAGTTTGCCGGGCGGATGGCGAGGGAGTAATAGGACGGACCACCGCCGGCCGGGTGGTAGTAAACGTGGTCTGTGCAGCCGCCCAGGCCCAGCTTCGCACTGGACCCAGTGTCGACTTGACTGGCGGTGTTGCAGGCTGCGGGCCGTCCGGTGTCGTTGAAGACGTAGGGGCTGTAGGTCTCCGAGAGCAGGTCGCGGTGGATCACGAAGGAGGTGAAGTTGAGCGCCAGGGCTCCCCACTGGCCCTCCTCGACGTAGCACGTCGCCACGTTGTACTCTGCGCTCTTGAACGCGGCGGGGCACTTGTACTGCTATCCGTCTGCGTTGCGCAGGCACGGACCTTCGCAGAACACGGCCACGGCTGCCGACTGTCGCCTTGCCCCATCGGCTGAGTCCCCGCTGCACTGCCGGGACGGTAGACGGTAAATAGACCACACTTTCCACCCGCGCACCTCTTTTCACCTGTTTTCCACCTTTTGAGGTGGTGAAATGGTGCACAGGCGCACCTTGGTGGGCAAAAGGTGGAAAACAACACCTATCAGTTTCACCTTTCGTGCACCTTGGTGGACGAAAGGTGGAAAGTGTGGTCTCAAGATCACCTTCCTCGCACCTTGCCCGGCGAGGTGCGAGGAAGGTGAAAATGGGCACCACTACCCATCATGCAGAGATGAAAAAAGACGATTTCTCCACATATGTACACCTTTATACAGTAAAATACAATTACACAATTATGTACATAATACTTGAGCGTCGCTGCTATCCTCAACGGGTTGGTTGTGTGACTCAGCGGCAGACGTCTATACCGCGCTGATCACTCTGCGTGTGAGACACAATTGTTAGTCTAAATGGAATGATCATGTTAGTCTAAATGGAAGGGAGGAGCTGTACTAAGGGTCTTGTAGCTGATGTGGACGTTAACGTGTGCCTTAGCCATCCACACTTGCTCGCTCTAGAAGTTGAGAGTGATAGAAGGACCCTCCTTGTCCATGGGGTCCCACTTGATGTTGCAGGCACTGGTCGCAGCTTTGATTGTGTCCTGCAAGAACTGATTTGGAGGAGCAGCCCAGTCTGGCAGATTGCAGAGGCGCTGCTTGAGCATGTCTCTGTTGTGGTGGATTGCTGTGGTGTAGCGCACCATGCTGCTCTGAGGAAGCGCAGCACTGTTCATGGAGGCAAGCCATTCTTGTTTACCTATAGACTTGCGCATGGTTAGTACAAAAATAAAGGGAAGAGTGAATGCAATTGTACCGCTGGTTACATGTGAGGCTGTTTGCTTTGGGGCCTTGCGTGCATGTTGCATTAGAACTTGCTTTTGATTGCTCTTCTGATTTTGTGTGGGTGTGATCTTGCAGACTGAGTTGATATTGGCCTGGGTTGGCTCATTGTCATCCACAACTGCTGGCTGGGTTCAAGTGACGTGTCATCTTCAAGCATCACTTCACATGTGGGTGGCTGGCATTGCATAGTGGCATCGCTGACACAACCAGAATCAGGCTGGCACTCCTGAAGTGTTGATGAGGTACATGGCTGTGGTCTTTTATTGTCGTGTCTGGCAATGGCCAGAAGCTTGTGTTGTGTCCCTTGGGAATTGCGCTTGCACTTACACAGGAGTGTTTCCTCTGAAGACGCTGCCATTGCCAGTTGGCTGCAGAGTGATGATTCAAGCTCTGGGTCCTTGGAGGCCTCTGAGTCCTCCTTGATGGAATGGCTTGGTGTTGACTTGGCTGGCTTGGTGACCACATCATATGAACCTGGGCCAGTGCGCCACACTCCGTTTGAGTTCTGCAATAGAGAATGCAGACTTGACTAAAAAGTTTTCTGTCAGTGACTGCACAAGAAGAAGATGAACAAAAACAAAAGATGTACCAGAGAGCTTGTTTTGGGAGGTGGTTGTGGAGCCCACGCCTCAATGTCCTCTGGGTGCAGGTCAGGTTGGCTCAAAGCTTCGCCCTCATCACCAATCCTGCCAACCTGCACAAAGGGGAAAAAAAGGTAAACAAAGATTTGAATGGGCTGTGGTGTTGTGGGATTCTACCTGCTCCTCTTCCTGCCTGTCTTCGTCTTCATCTACCCACTTGTCTTTGTCTTCATCTACCCACTTGTCTTCCTCCTTGTCTACCTGCTTGTCTTCCTTTTCGTCTATCTCTTCGCCTATCTGCAATCCTTCCCTTTTTGGAAAAAGAGAAGATGAGAATTGTCTAAAAAGATATTGCTAAGCTCATGTACCTGACCAGGGAAGTCAACATACTTGAAGAGACTTGAGCCTTTGGTTCTGGGCTTGGTGATGCAAGCTCCCTTCAAGTTGATGTCTTGCCACCACTTCACAGATCTCTGTGAATGGCCTGGCTCTGTGTTTGGATGGTCTGGGTCTGTGATGGTGTACTTGTTTGTGGCTCTGAAGCCCATGCGCATGAGCCAATCCCTGAAGATACTGTTGCCTGCACAGGAGAGAGGATTAGGACTGGTTGACCACAACATGATGTGCAAGGTGGTGTACCAGCTATTTTCTCCTTGAACTGAGTGGGTGTCTTTTTTGGATTGAGATTCTTGAATGCATGTGTGAGCAAAAGCCACAGTGACTTGGTCATGTGCTTCTGTTGCTGGTGCACCTGAATGGAAACTGTTGTGAGTGCAATGATTGACTAATAAAGCTAAAATAGGAATACCATACCACTGGAATGAATTTCTTCCAAATGTAATTGAGAGCCTTGGCTGACAACTTGACCTTGTCCTTCTCCTTGATGCTCTTGATGAGTGCCAGCCAAAGCTTGTTCCTGTTGCCTTGGTCCACCTTTGTGACATTGAAGTAGATGTGGGCCACCTCCTTGTGGACTTGCTTGGCAATGTTGTCCTGGTCCATGATTGTCTCTGTCTGCTTGAGCTTGGTCATGAGGAGGTGCAGCATCTGTGTCTGTTGATCCTGCTCCTCCTGCAGTTTCGCCATCTCCCTCTGCAGGAAAAGAAGAATCTCTATGTGGTGAAATTATAATTAGAAATTGTGTAGTACAAAAATGAAAATAAAAGTGAGGCATACCAGTGTTTGTGACCTTGGAGGACCATGCCATGGATGTGGCCCTAGCGCCGCCTAATTTTGTAATTAGAAATCATGTAGAATAAAAAAGAAAATAAAAGTGATGTGTACTGGTGTTCATAGACCATGCCATCAATGTGGCCCTTGCACTGCCTATTTCATTAACAATTAGAAGATAAAGCAAATTAGTAATCACATAGAAGCAAAATTATGTGTAAATGATTTGAAGATCTGTGAGTGTACTGTGTTTGGAGGTGCAGATTGGTGTGCTACTGGTTCTCCTCATGTTGATGGTGGCAATTGATGGGGCTTCTGGTCTGGGGTAGCCACTACTTCACTGGGGGGCAAGAGTGGAATGCTGATCTTGTAGCTGTGCCCAGCCTTTACACAGGTAAACCTGGGTGGATATTTCCTGGTTTGTGGAGGTTCTGTGGATTGCCTGCAGAAGCAGGGTTGGTATTTCCCCTTGGGGCGGTTCTGCAGATTGCCTACAGACCAGAGCAGCTTTTTTGAATATTTTTGTGCCAGTTAGTGAATCATGCAAGTATGTTACCTTACCTTCTATTTTGTTTTTTGGCAACTTATGGTTTCTTGAGTGCAGCCATTTGGTGAATGCAGGAGACAAGGAGCTCTTTTGCCTGACGTGCTACATCAAGATGACAAATGTGCTCTACTTCAGCAGCCACAACCTGCTTGGGCTGCTCTTTGGTTTGCTCCCCTCCCACAATCTTCAATAAACACTCATTTGCATGGGGGGGGGACAGGTATGGAGAAGTGAAGCTGGTGTGCAGATTGTGCAATATGGGTCTCTCATTGTGGCTGGCATGAACAATCTCAACGCCATGTCAAGGTGGCCATAGAAATGTGTACACTTCCTTGCTTGCTTGCTCTCTCTCTTTGAGCTAACCTCTACACTCAAAGGCATAAAAGCAAGGCTCATTCAGGAAGAGCGAAGAGTGAGCGAAGAGTGAAGAGCAAGCAAAGAGGAGGAGGGCAAGCAAAGAGCAAGTGAAGAGGACAAGGACAAGCAAAGAGCAAGCAAAGAGGAGGAGGGCAAGCAAAGAGCAAGTGAAGAGGACAAGGACAAGTGAAGAGCAAGTGAAGAGGACAAGGGCACTGAGGGTGACAAGGGCGACAAAACAAATAATGAAATGAACAAAGATGATCAGGGAGACAACAAAGAAGAAACTGAGAGCATCAATGACTCAATCATGGCAGCCCTCAACTCTATCAAGACAGGGCAGTCAAATGATGAGGACTCTTGGGTTGTGGTGGATCAGATGGGTCCTGCAACAGAGGATGAGCTCAATGAGCATGAGCTCCCACAGGTACAACACAAGTTTTGGTTTCAATTTTCCTCTTTGCTCACATCACCCATTACACAGGCATGGCACACAATGGCAGCACAAAGAGAGGGAGCCATTGAGTGTGTGAAGACCAAGATCAACAGGAAGTGGTATGAGCAAATGCAGCAGAACAACATCACTGAATGCACAATGGAAGACATACTCCATATGCAACATCAACCACCCTTCAATCACAACACCCTCACCAATAGCGTCCACATGCTTAGTGAGGCTGGCCAGGTGCGGCACTCTACCTTTCCCCCCTTTTTTGTGCTCATCATAATAACATGCACATGTGTGTGCATGCATGTGCATGTGCAGTGGTGCATACATGGGTGAGTGGCAGGCAATGTACCCACCAATCCCATGGCACAGGGCATGTGTTGGTAAGGGGACACTTGACTTCATCTCCCCAACTGACATGTAATACATGATCACTACAAGTGCAAAGTTAGCATTCATGAGGAGCACTTCACTTACCAACAAGGAAGCAGGATCAACCACCCATGCAACTCAAAACAGTTCAGCCAGTGCAAAAGGTACCCCACTCATAAATTGAAATGTTCATTGTATTACTACTTACTTGGGCGTGTAGCTATATGGCGTACAGGGCGGCAGCACAGGGGTGCAGGCCAGAAGAGTGCCAGCTCATCCTCCCAATGTTCTACATCAACACATTCAAGCAGAACAGATCACGAAGCTGAAGGCATTGTTGGCATCTACATGTCATTTGCCAACGTGTCAAGGGAGGAATTGGAGGCAGTGGAGTCAAGATACCTCCTCTGCCTCATGCCTCTCAACATCAACCTCTTGGACGCCTTGAGGCTTGTCATCATCACACCAATGCGCCTGCTCAAGCACAGGTACAACATGTACTTCAAGGCTGAGCAGGTGACACGCCACTGCTACAGCTCAGTGTACTGCATCCTCAGTGATCATCCCTCACAGGCACTGTGTGCAGGCACATTTCCCACATTTCACACACATGTTTCATATAGTTGATTTTCTTTTATATATGTCCAACAGGGTTGGCACAGGGCAGTTGGGCATGCTGCCATTACTGCCACAACCTGTTGGCCTTCTTCCACAAGGTGGAATGGCTGATCAGGGTGGGCAGAAAGACAGTACACCAACCCCAGCAACAAGGAAACTACTGGAGCGTCTTCAACGCTCATGTTGCCACACTTCATGACTCAAACAAGGGAGTCCATGGTAGGGTTGGTCCCACAGACAAGAAAATAAAGGTACACAGCTGGGGGCAACAGGTAAGCCCCTTCTGGGACCTCCTGTGGATGCAGGCATTGTTTTACAATTGCTTTGGGATCTGTATGCTCCATATTGAGCACCTGGGCCTCCTAAAGGTACGTTTCCTTCTTTTTCTGCGCTTATTTGTTTTTTATTGCTAACAAGCTGTACAGAGACATCTGCAATACACCTGTATTGCCAATGGGATTGAGGAGGACATCAATGACATGTTCAAGGCTTTCCCCCTGTTCCCTGGCAAGCAGACCTTTGCCAATTGAACACAGATTGTTTGTTGTAATGCCAACATAAGTATTTCTTCTTTGCTCTCTCTCTTCATTGTCTTTACTCTACAGCTAACCTGCATGTATGGCAAGTTGGTGGTGGCGGGGCTGACAGGAGGCGAGATGGACAGCTTCTTGCAGGTCACCAAGCTCCTCTTCAGGGAACAGGTGAGCAATCCACAGGAGCGCAAGTGTTGGTGAGTCCACATCAATATTGTCTGTCTCCTGCAGCAGGACAGCTTCACCAACAACCTTGACAAGCTTGAGAAGCTGACCAAGAGATGGAAACATCTCATGGTCAAGCTCTATGGCGGCATTGCCAAGCAGCAGCACATGACAAGCTCAAAGAAGAAGCAGTCAAAGAAGCGTTCACAGACAGCCAAGACAGCAGCCAGCGACATGACAACAAGCAGAGAGAAGCCACTGAGCTTCTCCTTTCCAAACTTCAAGGTTGTGCAACACTGGCCAGAACTGATCTGCTTCCTCAGCCCCCCTTGGGTCCAGGACACACACCTGTGGGAGCAGCAGCACCTCACAGCCAAGACAACCACACGCCACACAAACCAGATCAATACCAAACAGGCAATCCTCATTAAGGTGCATGTTCCCTTTCTGTTTTCATCATAGTTCCAGAGTTAACTCATCCTTTCCAGACTCATCAAAAAGACACCATGGTTCACCACAGCATGTACACTGGGCTGCCATCAACAAGCCCCAGCAAAGGCCCCTGCCAGGAGCCCTACATGCTCACTGTGAGTGTTGCTGCTGTGGCTGACATCATGAGCAATCACAAGCACAACCTCAATGATGCCATTGAATGAGAGGTGGGTGAGGGCTCCAAGATCGCCTACAACCACATCACCTCACACAACTCAGCCTATTACTACAGCCATTTCCTTTGATTGGGCGATGGCATTGCCTTACGTGTTCCTGATGAGACCCCCAACATATGTGCTCATCACTGATTTTTGCTGTGTCCAAGTCCACCTCACTTTTTCTTTCTTCACAGATACATTTCATTTTCAAAGACACCAGACATCTCATCCTTGAAGACTCAGAGACACAGAGGGTCATGATTGGAAAGATTGCTCACCTACTCACCATTGAATGTGATGGTAGGGCGCGGCCCTGGCTCAAGCTCAAGCTTGGTGAGCTGGCTGGCTTCAGGGATGGCTTTCTGGAGTTCAGGTTTGGTGTGTGATGATTCTACCTTCTGTTTGGATGGAATGGGTGGACTGTTGCCAAGTGTGTCCACCTCATGTGGCAATGAAACAGTGTGGTTTACAACCACTGAGTGAGGTGGCACATTGGTGATAGGTGGGCCATGCCTTGCCAACCCTACATGACAGCCAGCAAGAGTGGACTTCTAGGAAGAATGGATGACCACAACTACTAGTGGACCACAAGTGGGAGACTTCAGTGGACAACCACAAGCAGTGGACAACCACAAGCAGCACAAGCAGTGGACAACCACAAGTGGCAGACAACCACAAGCAGCAGATGACCACAAGTGGCAGACTTCAGCAACCATGAGCAGCAGATGACCACAAGCAGCATGAACTGGTAGGCAATGACCTGAATGACAACAGTGGTGGCAGGCAGGTGGGAGGGTGGTGGGCAGGCGAATGAGCCAAGAGTGACATGGTACCCTCTCTTCACACACCTTTCTGTTTGATAGCTTACTCACACACGCGCGCACACGCGCACACACACACACACACACACAACAACTTGAATGACAACAGTGTTGGCAGGCAGGTGACCACAAGTGGCAGACAACCACAAGTGGCAGACAACCACAAGTGGCAGATGACCATGAGCAGCACAAATGGCAGATGATGACCACAAGCAGTGGACTTTGGTGATGACCACAAGTGGCATGAATGGCAGACAACAACCACAAGCAGCACAAATGGCAGATGACAACCACAAGTGGCACAAGTGGCAGATGACAACCACAAGTGGCTACAACCCATGGCAGAGGCAAAGATGGAGAGAAGGCAGAGGTAAAGGTGGAAACAAGGTGGTGAGAAGGCAGAGGTGAAGGTGGTGAGAAGGTGTAATTGTGCATATTTTCCAATACAGTGTAATGTGAAAATAGGTGCACTGTAATGTGAAAAAAGGTGTACTTTAAGGTGAAAAAAGGTGAAATCAACAAGCTGGAATTAGCCTATAAGTTCCATCTTGCAAAAGGTGGAAAAAATGGTCTTTTTACCATCTACCATCCCAGCAGTGTGGCCACAAGCCTGACTCTCAGCACCGCCAGCAGGCAGATCACAGAAAGGATGAAGCACTCCCTGGCCAGTGAGAAGTTGTTTGATGTGGTGGGGTGTGAGTACAGAAAACTCACCTTCACCTTATTCCTGTTCTTTTGGAACCATGACACCCACTGGGGGTCCAGTAATGGTTCACACAAAACAGCATAGTAGGGGGGAAAATGCCCCAAAAAGTATAAGCAGCCAACCATACACTGAAAAATGCATTTCAAAGTTTATGCGCAAGGCGAAAAAGGCACTGTTGGCTGGTTGCAAGCTGCACAGGGTCAACTCAGGCACCTGGCAGCGGCCAGGAGTGGGGGACCCTCTACTGTGGCGTGCTGTCCAGAGTAAGCTGGCTAGCCATCCAGACTGGTCAGCACAGGCCATGGCAGACAGCCTGCACTGCTCAAAGAGCTTGGTCCAGAAGGTGAAATGGTGACAAAACAAGGGAGAGGAGGAACCATGGAAGCATGGGACAGGTGAGTGATGACAGATGGGGCCACATGAGATACAACTGATGGTTGAGCTGCTCTCAGAGGATGAAAAGGGGTCAGCCAACACAATCAAGGATGTGCAGAGGATACTAGCTGAGGAAGCTGGCGAGACATGGGGAATAAGGTTTGCCACAAGTGTCAGACCAAACAGAACTGCCCCTCACTAAAATGTAAAGGATAAAGTCTGTCAATTCATAACTTCGTTGTAAACTCCTTAACTAACCCGACTGGAGTAGAGATTAATTAAATCTCCTTTTGACCTCCACATCCGCCTGTTGGTTGCGGCGACGGTGATCAAGAGTTTGAGCTCAATAAAAAAGCCAGCAGCGTACCCATTCTTTTTCCTTTCTCTCTGCCGGGCGCCCAGCCGGAGGCAAAATCGCGAAGTCGGGCCGGGTCGTCGGGACCAACCAGCAGGAGGGTGGTGGCCACGAGAGAGAATTTCTCGGCCAAACAGCCCAGGCTCGACATTCTGATGCCTATCATTTTTAGTTCGTGGAACAATTTAGCTCCGCTCGCAATAAATGAGCCTCGGCCGTTCTGCTTTTCTTCTTTGTAGCAAACTTTAGTTGTCCACCCCAACAACAACATGAAGAAGACGCCGGCGTCGCTCGCTCTGTTGTGTGTAGTCCTGGCTCTCGCCTTGGCCGCCACCACCGTCTCGGCCCAGTACGGCAGCGGCTTCGCCGTGGTGTCCGGCAAGTCTCTCTGGGTCTACGGCGACCCGTCGTCGCTGGACATGTGGCTGGCCAACAAGGTCCCGCTCTCGCTCACGGCCAACCCCGTCTCCGCGGCCGCCGGCTCCCCGTACGGCGGCTTCGTGGTGGCGGCCCCCCAGCCAGCTGCTGTCCTACAACGTGACCCAGTGGGTAGGCGACGAGCTCACGGGCCAACTCATCTCCGACCTCGCCTTCGTCCCCCTCGCCAACAACGTACGCGGCCCC